CAATAGCGCTACCTCACGAATATTTAAAGGCAAACTAAATGAACTTACGCGGTTATCTCGGAATCGTATTTTTTGAAAAGTGCCTTTGCCGTGAGCACGATTTCTCGAAAACCAATTTACCGATCGATCTGCAATTTAAAAGTATTGTCCCTAATTACAATAGCTCCGGATTTTCATTTGGATGGAAATTTCTATTTTTTTCGGCCGGAAAACTAAATTTTTATACCCTCAAAAATCAGATTTTTTGGGAAAATCACCGCCATTTGCGTGAACATTTTTTTTGCAAAACCCTTAGTTCACGAAGGGGGTTATACTATGTATTAATATCGTTTTTTTTTCATTAAGATCTGTTGAGCGGTTTTCGATATTTCATGGTCACCGCAAACGCTTAAAAAAAGGCGTTTCGAGGCAAGGGCCGTATTTTCCACAACTTTCCATATTTTCGCATACAATTTTTTTTTACGAATACTTCGAAACATATCCTATTTAATGCTTTATAGTTCGTTTCAATATAATTATTATTACATAAAAAAAATCACCAAAAATCGTTAATTTTTACGAGCTCATTAGGGAGCTATTTAGGGATAATATATTATCCCTAAATAGTTGATTTCTACAGTGTAGCTAATATTAAAAGCGTATAAAATAAAATTTAACATTAAATACAGAATAAATATTGAATTTTCGGTTAATTAAACAAAAAATTGGAAAAAACAGTATTTAAATATAAATTTAGATATACATATTGGAAAAAACAGTATATCCACATATGTATTTATTCAATAACTTACCAAATATTGTTGATTCTGCTTCTATTATAATAAAAATATAAATTAAAAACAAAGAACTTTACTTTTATTTTTAAATTGCATGTAGATACTCTGTTTAAATAAAAGTTGATTTCTTTAAAATATAAAAACAATTTACTTCTTTTAAAAATTTGAAAAGTTTAAACAACTATTAATTTAAAAGGAACATGGTTTAATTTGAACGCACAAAGTTCTGCTTCGTTTTAAAGCAGTGGTTTAAAAATAGGATTTAAATAAAACAAAGAAAACGCTTATAAACGTCATCTTAATAATATTATGGAGGATCTTTGAAGAAAGGGGTTCTTAAAAATGTATTCCTATTTTTAAATGTATGTACTACTGTTTTGTGCAATAAATGTTAGTGCTCATTATTATAATTTTCCGCACAAAAAGTATCGCTTAAACGGAATTTTATTTTATGCCTTTTAAGAATTAACTTTGCTACTTGTAAAATGCATAAATTCCATTCTTTATTCCATTCATTATTACACTTAAAAAAGTACATTGGAAATTAAAAAGCACTTTATCTGAACCAATTGTATTACAAAAATAAAGAAAAATGTATTAAAACAATTTTCTAGAGAACAAATTACAACAAACGTGAATTTGTTCGAGAATAAACTTTACTATAAATAAGAATTTAGGAAAAAAATTCTCAACATTTTTTGACAAATCTGCTTATCATCGGAGCTGCATTATCCGGCATAAATTAAAAAAAATGGCAGAACACAGTTAAGGATTCCAAAAATATTAGTGCAAAATAGAGTGGGCCATTTAAATTGGTATTTTATTGTTTCGACCTTTACTTTATGAAACTACATGTCACTAATGTATAACTAGATACAAAATACTGTTTTTTGAATTTCACGAATTTATTTCTATTTTATTTTGACAATTGTTTCGCTAGCACAGTAGCTTCTTTAAAAATGATTTCAAACTTTATCTAATAACACACTTATATAACACAGTTTTGTGTGTGACAAGTTTTAAAAGATTTTCTCATGTATTTTCCAATAGAAAAACGTTATTAGAAACGTTATACCAAATAAATAATAGTTAATTTCCTAACAAGTGCGCAGTTTTTTTCGCAATTTTTTTTATCAGGTTCCATTTTAACTATAGTTGTATGCAAGCTTGCGGAAAGTTGCACTTATAAATATTTTTATATTGAATTATTTTAGCAATATTTTTTGTTTTTAATCAAATGATTTAATAATCTTATTACTGAATTAACGCATTTGCGTGCGGAATAGTACAGTTTTACTTTGCGCATGTGAGTAGAAACTTTATACATGGAAAGTTTTAAATGACAAATAAAATTGCACTAACCCAGCTAGAGATGCGACTTGAAAAAAAAACGGTCCGTTTTTTTCAGGTTTTTTTCAAATGGTTTTTTTTTCATATTTTAGGTTTTTTTTTCAAGATTAGTCCCATTTGCCTAATTTTTTATGTTTCCAGTCCAGTTCGTCGACTAAAATTAGCCACTAAATGACATTTAGTAAATGTAAATAGTCTCGCGCTTTGCACGCGCCACCACCACCGAATTGACCAATAAGGGCCGCGCTTGTTTTGATTTAGTCCTAAAAAAAAGTAACTACCTGTAATATTTTTCATTCAGTGCTTGATTTTTCAAAAAGCTACCAAAAGCACTTTTTTCATGATTTTTCAAATTCATGTAGAGTATGGAAATTTTATTTTTCAAAAAAACAATAGCATATTCTTGTAGAACATTTATTCATTGGTGGTTAAGTCAGAACATTCCGTGGACCAAAAAAGAAAGCCAAAAAAATTTCGATTTTTTTTATTACGGTATTCGTTAGGATTGAGCGTTGCACGTTTTTCATCTACTAATCTCAAAACTAGAAACTTCAAGCTTCAAAGTGCTTTTTTTACGGCTTTAATACGACCATTTTTAACGAAGATTTTTTTTATCCTTTAATTTTTTCTATTAGTGTAGAAGTTTTACATTGCTATTGGTTTCTTATGTGGAAACTACCAAATAATAAGAAATCAGATTTTTTAGTCTCGGTCAAAATTTTCAATAATGAAAAGTGTAATATATTCTACATTTCACTTTATTATTAATATACATTTTACTCAAAATTTTATTTTAAAAAATTACTCCATTTTTACGATTATTTATGTTATTTATTGACAGAATATGCTTTATTGCAGCGGATTTGAAAAAAAAAACAAAAAAAACTGTTTTTTTTTTAGTTTTTTTTTGTTTTTTTTTCACATCTGAAAAAAACCGTTTTTTACATCTCTAAACCCAGCCTTAATATTTTTTTAGAAACCCAACAAAAATTCGTAAAATTCATAAAATTCGTAAAATTTGTAAGAATTTTCACTACCTAACTTAAAGTTATTGTAGTAACTAAACGAAAAAATAATAATAAAAATCATTGAAATGCAAGTCACTGAAACACCCAGGTTCGGTCACTGTGACCGCGATAATATCACATCAGCAAGGTCCGACCATTGGAATAGCACTGACCAGTGCACAGTGTGTGAAATTAATGATCTAGCTAGACAAAACCTTAATGACATAAAAAATTATAAATTTTCTCTGTAAACGGGGAATTTGGGTTCACTGAATCCAAATCTGACATCCAAAATGCAGAAATTAAATTCGTTCATTACGAAATGGCCGGCGCATTGCAATAAAAAACAAACATTCGGTTTCGTCGAAAATTGGTCAACTTTCGTTTTTCCAAAGAAACACCCTGTATATTTTTGTATATTTGAAATCTGGAGAAAATTTTGAATCTGATAGATGCACATTCGCTACCATTTTGCAATTGACCTTAAAGTTTTATTTTTTAATCCAGGAAGCTGCAATTTGAAGAATCAATTATTTTTACCATCCAAATTTGCAATTAAATGCATAAATAGCAAATGTTGCAGATCAATTGTTTTTTTTTTAATTAACTCAACTTTTTTAAATACCATACAAATGTTTTTAAAAATCCATATGTTTTTCTCAATCATAACTCACCAATGTCATAAAAAGTTGTTTAGTGTTTTCCACTAAAATTACACTTATGGAAAACTTAAATTACAACAAAAATTAAGATCATTTTAAAAATCCCGCGATAGTGTAAGTATTGAATTCAAAATTTTCTCCTAATTTGAAATATACAAAAATATGCAGAGTATTTTATTGAGAAAACGAAAGTTGGCATTATTTCCGGGGAAACCGGATACCGGGTGGTAACCATTGAAGGTTGAAATAATTATAAATTAACTCTTTATTATTACTCCCAAATTTCAACTCTATTCCAAAATTTACTAGTGGAGAAGGAGTGCGTCGGTTTTTGGTTACACCCTGTAGAACAGGCAAATTGGGGCAATAAATAAAGGCACATCAGTAATCTGTAGACGTTATAAAACAAAACAAATATTGATAGTGCATCCGATATTCCTCGATTACCATACTTCTTGCTTAATAAATATTGTCCATATTTAATAACACCAAGTGAATTTCTATATCTATAGCCTGTTGCTGATTATTGATATTATAAATCCCTAATAATAAAAAATAAGTAATATATACCTAGATCCATAGCTGCACAGTTCAAAATTTGATTTAACTTGACACAATGTCAAAATCAAACCACCTTTTTGCAACGCATACACGGCTAAGTATGTTTATAAAAAATGATACGCCCGGAACTGGCGCCTGCATAGTGCTAAATACACTGTTGCAGTACGCTCTAAGTAATGGAAATCATAACAGGGAGAACTAAAGAAGCTTATTTAATAAAATTTGTCTTTATTACAGGTTGTTTTTAAATTAGGTTTTGTCTAGCTAGATAATTAATTTAACACACTGTGCAGTGGTCAGTGACCACGAATACAGGGGGGCCAAGGAAAGATTAGCTGGTCTGACACCATTGAGGCCATTAGTAAAAAGATATTGGACCGGTCCAGGTCGTTAAGGGTAAATATTACCCTTGGCATGTGTTTTTTTTTACTTGCTTTGAAAGCAAGTTTGAGTAGTAGAAAACTTTTTATTCGGTAAAATCTATCACTTTTCAGAGTTTTTGTTAACATAGGCGAAAGCAGCATCCTCTTCTCTAGTCGATTTATGTAAAAATGCCATTTTTGTTCAAGATATGAATCCAGAATTTTAATTGAATAAGACTATGATATTAACATGTATATTGAATTTATTTTTTCTTGTCCCAGATGAATGCGGTCAGAGCGGAGGCGAGGCAGAAGACGCCGACAGTGACGAGGACGTGATCACGGACTACCACGTGGTGGAAACGGGGGCGGCAAGCTGCGGCGGCGGGGGCGGGGGGGACGGTTTGACCAACAGCTACAACGGAGGCCTGGCGTCACCGGACGGTACCGTTGTCGTCGTCCCTGGCGGCGGCAACGGCAACTGCGCGCCGGCGATGTTGCCGCGCGCGGGCGGCGGCGGTTGCACGGCGCCGCTCCCTACTATCAGCGTGACGCCGCACTCGCCCGCCAACAAGACGTATCCAGTGCTGGAGGACAGTTTGCAACAAGTCAGGGATCTGCACGAGACGGTGCAGCACATGAGGAATGTCTCTATTGCCAGTGAGTATCCAGAAATATATAAAGTCTATTCATTTAACAGACGGAGTAAAACAAAACAAACCTGAACGCGTGGTCACCGATGTGGTGGCTCGTACCCACGCATACCGAAATTCTCCAGGGTTTCGGTGGGGATGAGGGGTTGACTACCAAGTGGAAAAATAAAATAATTTTTGCACGTTTATTACGATTTTTAATAACATGTTCAAATTGTCGACCATTTTCGATCTCGCAATGACCCAAACGCACGTAAATGTTATTTTGAACCTTCAGAAGCATATCCCTAGTCATATTGGTAGTTTCTTCAAGTATGCGATTTTCCAAATCATTTATTGATTCTGGTTTTGTTGCATACACTTTACTTTTCAGAAACCCCCAAAAGAAAAAATCGAATGGGGTTAGATCAGGATATCGTGGTGGCCACTCAATTTTACATCTTCTATCAATCCAACGGTTTGAAAATTCTCAGACTGCGCGACTAAATAGTGGAAATGTTGGAACCACTTATTGTTAATGCCATTAGAGCATAATGCACGTACATTTGGAACAACTTGATTTTCTAACAGTTGGAGATATCCGTCTCCGTAATAAAAATTCATTCAATTCAATTCAATTCCATAATACCAGCTCATACGTTAATTTTCTGCGGTCTCTGAGTATGATCTTCTCTTATTAGACGTGGATTTTCGTCAGCCCAATAACGACAATTGTGATTATTAACCTTACCATTTAAGTAGAAAGTAGCCTCATCAGAGAAAACAATATTCGAAAGAAAATTCCTGTTAACATCACATTTACCACGTACTATTTCACAAAATTACAACCTTTGTTAAATTCCTGAACTAGGTGAAACTTATAGGGAAATTACTTAATTTTTTTTTTAATTCTGTGGACTTGCATGTACCTGACTCGCTTTTAATAAGGAATTTGAGGGTTCTTCAATAAAAGACAGTAACACTTCTTTCTTTTTTTCTGGAGTTGTTGCAGATTTCGGTCTGCCAGTTCTCGAAAGATCTCAGTTTCCTCTTCTTGAAATTTTCGAACAGTTCTTTCTACTGTTGATTTAGAAATTAACAATCTTTGATAAAAAAAACTATTGAAGACATGCTGCACTTCATCATAAGATCTTGTTCTATCATTTTTAGAGTTAAGGCCAAATTTAGAAAACAAGTTCGGTTGAACTAAATAATAAAAGTAAGAACGTAGGCGCAAATTAATCACAGCAATTGATATCATGTCAAAAAAACATCCCTATTTTGTATTATTACTTTTTATTATAAATTCCTTTTTTCTTTACCTTTAAAATAAGGTGAAACTCGACAGGGGTTGCTATTTAAAATGTTGGGGTGGTCATCCCCTAAAAAACTCCAAGTTGCATGGAAGTTCTAAACTATCTAAGAATGTAGTTTTTATGATCCTATAGTGATCCCCAAATTTTCAATTTTTTTCTTCACTTCTTCAAAAGTTATAGCTCCGTCCCTTAATAGTGGTCAGATGTAAGAACAAAAAAAATAACAAAGTGCACTGACATGCTGAAAACAATAAAAATACTTCCTCGAAATAACGAAATAAAATACCTGAAGGCCAAAAAATTATAGAAAAATAACTAAAAATTGCAACGAGGAAAAAATGAATGCATACCTATACATAAAAAACTACATATAATAGAAATTATAAAGTATAGTCGGAGAAAATATTAAAATTATTATCCATATTTATTACATTATTATTATTATTATTATGTATTACAAACATACTTAAAGTAAGACGGGTTGTAGACAGTTTTTGGTCATTTTAGACCGTTCTATTATAGTTTCATTTTAAGATGTTTTAAAACAGTTTTAGTTAAGTTCAGCCCTTTTATAAATTTAAATTTATTTAATTTCACATAAATGCCCTTTTATTATACATAATACACGAATCATTAGAATAAATATAAACTGAAATAATGTAAAAAAATAAATAGATATATTTTAATAATATTAAAAACTGATTAATGGAATTACAAAAAACAATTAATTATTTAATATTATTTAAAAAATATAATATTTTTTAAAAAGTCATTAAAAATCGAAAAAAATCTCATTGAAAATTATAAAAATAGTAAACACGTAAAAATATAGAAAAAACAAAAAGTCCTGAAATTCACAAAAATTATGAAAACAAAGAACCTAAAGGAAACAATACAAAATTCTGGAAGCAATGGAAAAAAATTAGAAAATTATAGGTATATTAATATAAAAACTGAAATGCATCCTAAAAATAAATATGTATACAATGTATATATATGTATATATATATACTATAAATACATTTTACCTATTATACATATAAAAGTACAAAATACTGTTACCAGAAAAAAATATAAAATTTATACACAAATCTTAATTCTATTTTTTTTATTTTATAAAAGAAAGTTAAAACATAAAAAATATAGAAAAAACTAAAAAAAAAATTAAAAATCGCCAAATTTATTAAAACAAACCCGACAGAAAGTCATAAAAAGATAAAAATGCTGAAAAGATTTTTTTGTAAAAATAGCGGAAAACCACACTATGTAAAAAAATAAATACTGTCTGTCCACTCTAAGTTGGCTGAACTAAGGAATTTTGTTGTTTAGATATTAATGAATTGTCGTACTGTGTGATTTTAAAACAGATTTTATATTATAAATAATACTAGTACATATTATATTATAATATGTACTAGTATTATTTATAATATAAAATCTGTTTTAAAAGCACACAGTACGACAATTCTTTAATATCTAAACTACAAAATTCCTTAGTTCCGCCAACTTAGAGTGGACAGACAGTATATTATATTGTGCAACTAGTGGAAGAAAGAGGGGATTTCTGGAGAATATGATAATACCTGAAACATTTAGACATTATGCATAACGTCATAGTTATTAGGGGTGATGTAGGTGTATTTACAGGAAAGATATTCTAAATTATTATTATTTATTAGCACAATAAAACGTTATTATTATTAAAGAACAACTTGAAAAGTTACCATGGTAGGTTACCTACCGTAAGTATTGCATAATACAAAAAATATACTAAATACTAAAAATCTGCTTGAATCGTTTATTGTTATTGCAAAAAAGATTCATTTATTTAAACAAGAAGTACTTTAGTGGCGCATACTATTGCATAATTTCGTTTTTTTACAACGACAAGTAGGTATTGTTTTTGCAGAACTTAGTACAATTGAATCTTTGGCAACCCTGTATAGTACCAGAATGAGAAATGGCATCCATGCATTGCGATGGACTGATTCGCCCCGATAACAATGGATATTAGCTGACATATTTAGTTATTATGCATAATGACTATTTTCGGATATTAGCAGTTTATTATTTAAAATAATTTAAAAAATATAATCATCTTTGAAATGACATCAAAAAATTAATTCTTATTTAATAATATAACAAAATTGCTAAAAATAGTAAAAAACTAAGAATATATAAAAACAAAAAATTTTCTGAAAATCGCAAAATGTATATACAACCAAACTTAATTTACAAAATAATTCAATAATTGTAGAAAAAAATGTAGAAAATCATATATTAAATAGCTGAAACTTAAATTTCTATACAAAAACCTTATTACTTTCACTGTTTTTATTATTTAGATTAAGACCAAAAATTATATATTTTTTTATAATTCTGTTTTTTTTTTGTTTAAATTGACTAAACAGTATTTTTTTAGATTCTTATGCTCCCAGCTCACGTGACTTCGCAGCGTTTGCTTTGAACCCCCTCCTCGCTCAGGTGGCACGCCTGAGCGCGAGTTGTCCAGTCCTCAACGAGATGGCGCTGGACCCCGAAGCCCTCGTGGGCTCTCTGGGTTCCTCGCCCCTCCATCAATCACCCAGCAGAAAAGGAAGCGGTAAGTTTTTAGAACAAAATTAAATTTATTTGTTTAATTAAATTTTTATTTTGATATTAAAAAGGTTTAAACTTTATAATATAAAAATACTTCAAACAGATGTTTGTCTGTCTTTTCAATTAGAACAACAAATTAAGAACCCAATAGCTTCACTATAAATCTTGCAACAAAGTCACTTTAATTCAATCAACATTGAATGACTTTGATGTGCAATTAAGAGTTTCTTCCCAAAGTGTCCATTTAAATAGGTACAAACGTCACTAATTAATACCTGTAAAGGTATTAATAAGTTCTAAATTTGAAACTACAGCGTTGGGTTTCGCAAGCGAAGCTTAATTAGTTACTTGCAAGCAATTTGAATTGCCGATAGTTGTTTGCGCTGTTTGATCGAATTAATTTCGTTTAATGATTCTGGTTTTTATTACAAATTGCCCTTTAGTTCGAAAAAATACATTTTAAAGTTAACATTGAATGCATTTTTCATACAATAAAAATTTAAAGAAAAAAATACCTTATGATATATTTAAAAAAGAAACTGTGTTTTTTTATTCATGTCATGGATTTAGCAAAATTAAAAAAGGACCAGTTATGATTAATATTAACATTTTATTAACATAACAAATAATAAAAACATGTTTTACACACTGGAGTAGTTCAGTGGGCAAGTCTTATGAGACTTGGCGTATTTAACTTGGTATGGCACATTACCACATTGTGGCCCTGTATACAATGTTTTTTGTTATATTATGTAATTAATTAATTTATTTATTTATTTATATTTCCCGGGTACAAACCCTGGGCCAGGATAAAAAAAAATAGTACTTAATGCTCCAAAACACAACAAAAATTGTATTTTGATTTTAGGAGCTCAAGATTGGTTGTGTCAGCCAGAAACACAAAGAAGAAGATCATGGACAGCCTTGGAGGACCTTTCAGGAACAAAAGAAAAAGTCATGAAACACACAAGACAAAGAAGGTACGGAAAAAAGCGCTAAAAACAAACCTTAAATAATTTTTTATGGGGGTAATTTTTAGTATTTCCCTGAGCAGTATGGAATCTGAAGCTGACGAATCGTCTTTATTGGACAATGTAGATGGCAGCACTGCTCATCTGCTTGGACCGGATGTCCCTGTAGTGGTAAGGCACCGGCACGGTACCAGGGGTACCAACGGTAGAGACAGAGACAGTACCCATTCCTTAAACGAGGCGGACCTTCAAGTAAGTTTAGAAAGAAATCACTTTTGTTTATAGTTTCTTTTTTTGTTGTTAATTTTTGTTTTTTTATTTTTTGTTGATTATTTGTCTTTGCTTTTTTGTGGTTTAAAAAAAGCAACAAGAACTAAAAAATAAAATATAATAATTAGATTTCTAATCTACAAAAAAAGTTTTTTAAGGCAGTTTTAGACATGGGTAAACACTTGCAGTTTACATTTTAATAATTTCAGAATGATTTTAACAAAATCAAGGCGAAACGCAAAGCTGAGCAGCTGCGGCTGCTTCCGGCGCGTCTTCCGCTCCAAAAGTCAATCTCCACGCCATCTATAATCGCCGTGCGGGATCTGGCGCCGGAACCGGAAATACTGGTGGGAGTTGTGCCAACTTTACCTCTGTAAGTTTAACATTTGCTTTATTTCTAAAAGGTTTTTTAAGTTTTTTGTATTTCGACACGTTTTTATATAATTGCTATCACGTTTTTTTGTATAAGGGATATTTATAAGGCTTTAATGTTAAGAAGAGAAATTTTTACATAAAGCAGTTTTTTACTAATTTTAGGTTTTATAATATTAATAATATTACAAACAAAACAAGATTTTTCAAAATAATTTCTTTTAGGACTTTTAAAAACTTTGCAAGAGATAATTTGAAAGAAATAAAACGTCACAGTCCTATAAAATTGTATGATTACTAATCATTGATTAGTTCAAAAGTCTCCTAAAAAGTAAAAAAATCATGAAATTTACTGTAAATTCAACTTTGACCTTAAATAACTTTAAGAGTAGCTTTATTATAAAATGATAAGAGTCTCTATAAAAAAAGGTGTCTAATAGAGAACAGTATTGTCTTAATATTAATTTTAAAAGCCGAAACTTTAACAGACAAATGTTTTTGAAATAAATTTTGATAAAAATAGTGTGATAAATACATATATATACTATTTTTGTAATTTTCCTATAAACTTGCCAAATTTTAATAGTTTTTGACTAAAATTAGAACAAAAATGCCATTGTAGAATTTTTTTTAAGTTATAAATATTCCCTATTAAAATATTGTATTAAGATTTTTTAAAATTCTGCACCTATTTTTATAAAATTCCACGGTTTTATTGGCATGATTACTACCTTATAATAATTATTTTTTTACGTATTTTATTGTAGATAACCTATAAATTATTCACAATATTCATACAAATTTACATTATAAAAAAAAGGAAAGTTTTCTAGCCTAAAAGTACTGTTAAATGTCTCTAAAGTATCTTATTAGCCGAGCAGATTAGGCAGTAGGATTATACACGGATAGAGAGATAATTTTTAAAAAATTAATAGCCAATTGAAAACGTTTTTATACAATCTATACGAAGAAAATATTTAAATAATTTTTTCGCGAACAATTTACAACCTAAAGTTGTTATAAAACTTGCCTGATTTCCATAAATTATAGGAAAATACACTTTAAAATGGTGTTTAGACTTTTTTAAGCTAAGCAAATTTACATTTTTTCTTTGCAAAATTACACTATTTTTGCGAAGGAAAAAAATCGTATAAGCATTAGAGTACTCTGTTTAAAACGAACTTGTTTGTTATTCCCCATTGAAAATCTTGTTCTACAGCATAAACCAAATGTTAATATTTAATTTTCAAATTTTTCTGAAATTTCAAATTTTAATATTTTTTTTATGATTTCAAGGGCTTTAAGTTAAGAGGTTATACTCTTGGACCAACTTTTTAAAATAGAAATTAATCATGTATGAATCTTCCCAAAAATACCTAAACATCTTTTGCAAAATATACCAAAACATTTTCATTAACATAACATTTTATTGGTACCTCATTGTTTTTAAAATCATATTTTTAAAATCAGAAGAAGAAATACATGTACTTGAAGTACATTGGGCTTTATTCAATCAAAATAAAAAAGCAGGAAAAACCTTTTACGACGTTGTACCAGTTCTTAAAATTAATATTAAGACTCACTTTCTATTTTAACATGCAAAACAAGATATGCGGAACAAAAAACACGTTCGTTTCAAACGCGGCACTTTAACAAACATACGACTAGCTAGTTAGCAATGTAGTGCATGTGCTTAGCTTGGTGTGTAGGGGCAGACCCAGCGGCACGGAAAGCGAGACCGAGGAGGAGGGCAGTCGATCCGGACACACCGACAGCTCAGTCGCTCATCTCAAGTAAGTCATTTTGAGTCATTCAAAGTCAAAACATTTCTGTCCAAACAGAATTCTAATTGCATCTACCGTTCGCATTAAAACATTCTAACCCTTGATCTAGACAAAATAGATAATGGGTAGCGATAAATTTGCCCGAGCGTTTTTATATAATATACGAACGCTAGGGCAAATTTATCCCATATCCCATATTATGTTTTAATGCCTACCGTTCCCGAGATATAAGTTATTCAGTTATACTATCCAAAAAAATGATTCATATTGTTTATCTGACGTTTCACAAAATCTCAATTGCTTTAAATAACATAATTTGGCAAAAATAAATGATGTCAAAAATATTGCTTCTTTTTTTTGCTCGAAAAACTCACGTTGACGGCATAACAACATATCTCCAGAACGGTAATTGTATTTGAATTTCTACTTGGACATAAATGTTTTAAATGGCAAAATTTATAAATTAAAATCACACAGTTAAAATTGGGAGTTTGAAAATAGTCTTATACCAAAGTTTGTTAATTTAGTCGTATTTTCTGGTAATTTTTGGAGTCCTAGGAAATAAGTTTGGTTATGTTTTTAAAATTAAAAAAAAAATGATTTAACCGATGACACTCCGGGAACAGTTCAAACAGCACACTTTTGTAAAACAAATAAATACAGGGTGTCCCAGAGAAAAAGGGAACGTACCGAAAGTAATTTGAAACACATATTTAAAAATTCAAATTGTCCAACGCAAAGGATAAGGGAGATAAAAATAAAAAACGATAGCCAATCCCAATAGATCACCACAGGGAATTCTTTAAATTGCTAGGATACTTAGGTTGCATTGTTGATAATAAAAAATATGTAAAATATTTGGTCCACTGGAATCCAATTCATTGTAACACTGCTGTCAATCTTTACTTCTGTCATTAATATTATATTAGGTTATGAATTAAGTTATTATTGACAATGCTGTCAATCTTTACTTTTGTCATTAATATTGTATTAGGTAATAAATTAAGTTATTATAAATAATATTTTCCTTGATGATTATACCGAAATGATAACTATTTATGGGGAGCGTGGGCGCAAAAAAAGCTAAATAAAGTACAACTGGTTTGATTTTTTACTTTAAAACATTGGCGTTCTGAAGTATCAGTCATAGATTAATAACCTCATTTTTTGAAAGCTTTTGACAACTTAGTAAATGCAGTTGGCCAAAAGATTTTTAAATGTTTTTAAGACAACAATGTTCTATCGTTTCCTAGCAATTTTTAAAGCTCCTACGTTTAACCTAGGCGAGATGTCTCGGTATTGGCTGCCGCTTTTTTGCTCTCATTCGATTACACTATTACCTAGAATTTTTTTATTTTTAAATTTGGCATCTCCATTGCTATCGGCACGCCCCCTTTTTCTCTGTGGCGCGAGTTCTGGGACACCCTGTATAATATGTAGGGTGGCCCATCGAAAACAGTCCAGCAAGGTTTACAGCTCTGTATGTGAAAATACAAAAAAATCTTCGAACCCGTATTCTTTTGTTTTGTTTGTCCTTAACGGGGGCGGCATTCACTGTTATTTTTTCAAATGAGAAGGGGTATGTCGTAATTCATCTTTTATTTTTTTTTAATGTGCTTTAAACAGGCACCAGACCCAATTACAGAAGTACACAATGACAAACACAAATAAACAACCATACCCCTGGTGGGATTCGAACCCACGACCTCTCGGCTTGTAGTCCGCAGTGCTAACTACTACACCACCGAGGGCGGTTTTGAAAGGGCATTACATTTTCTTTAAAATGTCGATTCGTTTTTTAAATTTGTGCTGCCAAGAAATTTAATTTAATTTTATTTTATTGATTAGTACTTACGTATTATCTTATTAACTGTTAAAAATGAGCGCCGTTGAACTCCATACAATAAATTCTCATAAACACAAATTTAAAACTTTCTTGTTATTTTAAATTTCAGCATAAAAAGTAAAGTAAGCATACAAAATTGCATTATTTTATCTCATGCCGTTTTGAAAATAATAATAAAGGGGCGCCCCTTTAAGAGGCTTTAGTCTTAGAAACCACTTGTTAATAACAAGTTGTTATATTAAAATGTATAACTGTAAAATTAAAAATTTTTGTTAAAACTATACATATTTTTAAATTAAATATCTAATATAAAATATGAAATAATTTTGAATCACACTAAATAATATTTAAATTAATTATTTTAATGTATAATAGGTTGCATATTTTACATCTGGCACCATCACTCCAAATCTGAAAGTTCTTGTCACAAAATGTGTCAATCATTAAATTTTTAAACAAAACCTATTGAAAAACCTATAATTTTTGTTTTTGATATTTACTTTTAAAAAGACAATTTTTAAATCTGAAATTCAGCGAGTGTAAAATGTACAAAGGTGTGGCGTCATAACACGAGTCAACTACCTGACCGCGAAAGCAGAGTTTTAAATAATTATTTCAAAGTGAATTTAGTGATAATTAATAAACTGTTACCTATCGTAATGATGTTATTTTTATGTTTTTAATTAAAAAATGACTTTTCCAAACCCCCAATTGTTTTTAACAATGGGATTTTTTAGAATATTGTTTTTTAATAAAATAACCTAAAATGTTTGCAGCATTTTATGAACCTCAAGTGTAACTTGCGAATTATAGTCATGTGAATGCTTTACAGCTTAAACACAAAACTCCTTTTAATTACTTTAGTAATATTTTGTTTTTTATGTATGGTTAGATGATAAAGACAGTATCTATGGAATAGGTACAGGGGAAATTAAAATGTGTTTTTTTTAAATTTTTTCAGTGACATTCGCCATTCGGAAAAGAGACGCAAACGGGGAAGTCTGTTTTTTAGAAAGAAAAAGGTAGTAAATTGAATCTTTATTTTTTGTTTTTTAAAATTATTTTTTTTTAGGATAAAAATAAGAAACAAGTTAGCCACCAGTGGGTGTCAGGTTGTTACAGTAACTCTCAAATTTGTGATGTCTGCAGCAAACAGCTTAGCAACAAACCTGCCCTCTATTGTGAAAGTAAGAAGCAAAAAATAAAAGCTAAAAATATATTATATATTTTGATTTCATTATTTAAGGTTGTGGCACAACTGTTCACCAAAACACTTGTAAAGACAATATAATAGAATGTGTTAAAAGTAAAAGTTCAAAGGTAAGAAAGAACCTCTTTCTTTAAAAATACAACTTGAAAAAAATACGTGTATTTTTTATAGAATTCCAATAAAATGTCGGGATTTGCTGTGCCGTCGACTACAAAAAGTTCGATTTCGAAGCGTGGCTCAGGGTCCCTAATTGGGTCCCAGTCTACCTCAACTAGGTAAGACTTTTGGTAAAATTATTTTTATTTTGCCTGAAACATTAATAAATAATTTAGTCTTAATTTTTTGACTAAATTACTTATTATTAATACATTAAATACAATAGAAGAAAACTGAAAATATCAAAATTAAATAAATGTTTACTGTTTTATTTTGGTAGCAAAAAATCCGTGTTGAAAATTTACGTTAGATTTTTAGTAGTTTGGCAATTTGGCATGTCCTCGTAAAAAAAAACCTCTCTATAAAATTTGTAATACTAAAAACTACTAAACCTGCATACTTTATTTTACTCGATTTTCTAAAAAAGACTAAGAAAAACATTTTTTTTTTCTCCAGTTTATTTAATTCTTGATAGAAGCCCTCCATGGTAAAATACGATATTTGAAAACTCCAAAATATTAAGTGTTTTGATTGGTAATCCATGTTACATGTTACACAAAAATGACTCCTTATATTCTTTAAATTCTTTCTCTATCCTTTGCCTGGCTTATAACACTCTCTCATTAGTGTTTGTGTTGCTTTTGCTTTGTAGCAATAGAAGATTCCACTTTTATGTTGATAAATCCCTCCATTCTTAAATTAAGTGTTTTAGGTTATATGTTAGACCCCCAACAAGATTTTAAAATGTTTGTTATATTTTGGATTTTTAACTTTTTATTGGTCTCAAAAATGCGAAAAGCCATACAACAGTATAGAAAGAGCAATACAGTCAGTTGGGTTATTTTTTAAAACCGTGTCTGCTTATTAAATGACCTGATTTTTACGAAACGATCCGAGCTCCCCCACGCGATCTTCAACCGCGGAGGGTCTAGCCGCTTAGATGACCTAAGTGTCAATATTTCTCTCGCTCTACTGTGGCTATACCATGCGGTAAAAATAATTCAAAGTAGTTTTTGGGGTATTAAACATTTAAGTTAAAAAACTTGTCAAAGCTGTGTGTTTAATAAGCTAGGTTTAGTTATTTTACATATCAAAAAATGCTTGTTTTGGAAACAGGCAGCTGAGTTTAATATGCTTAGCAATGTGTCAAAAAATCAATACTTTAAAATATCATAACTTTGTTATTATAGTTGACAGGTGCTCGAGCGGTTTGCAAAGCACTCATAAGTGCTCATAAGCGCTCATAAATGCTCGAGCATTTATATACGATGAAATATAAATTTCCAACAAAATAGAGGTAAGTAAACCATTTTGGAATTGGATAAACCTGCACCACTTTTGTGACCTGCACATGTTCTGATGTGAACAGTAGTTATTTGTTGGTTAATTTTTAACCCCGCTTTTTAGTTTTGGCGCCAAATTCAAATATCGCTAAATATTTATAAGCGCTCGAGCATTTATAAGCACTTATGAGAGCTTTTGAAAGTGCTCATCCTTCTCTAGTTATTATTAACAAATTTACTTTTTTAATTTTGAAACATCCATGGAAAATTATTGTTTTCCTTTTTTATAAAAATTTAGTCTCAAAACAATAAAATATTAAAATAAAATTCAATTTTAAAAGTTTTATACCTAACTCAAAAACTAAACTAAAATTAAATTGAAATACTTAACATCGCGTGGTATGGCGTTAGTGGGCCATTTTTGACACACCCTGTATATTATCCTTTAACATTATAATTATTATGTAAATTTTGTAAATTTAAAAATATATTTTTTCCTTAAATTAAAATCACAAACATTTTTTAAATCTTGTTATTGCGTAAGAATTAAATGGGCTTTTTTTGTTTGTTTTTAAATAGTTAATGTAAAATTGTACAACAAAATTTATTATAACAATAAAATGACGAATTTTTCAAAATTAATTGCAAATAAATATTTTGCAATTTTTTTTTAAAGAAAAAAAATTGTAAAAATTAAAATTTAGGTATTCAAATTAATTTTATTTGCATTAGAAAGTTATTTTTTATCAAAAACACATAACAATTAAAAGTATTCTTGTTATATGATTTAAATTTTACTAAACTTAATTCATATAAACTTGAAAAAATGCCTGAAAAGTCCTTTTTACATCAAAATATTTTTTTACACTTACATTGCACCGATGCGATGTTGTAAAGTGAACTTGTAGCGTTGCCAAATTTAAACGCGTTGTTGCCAAACGTACATTTTTGGTAAAAAGAGGCTTTTTCGTAAATTTACGAGGCACATAGGTTGTATATTTAGAGGCTAATATGTTGCCTGTTCCCCGCACCTCCCAAACAAAAACAAATAGGAGGAACCAGCTGTGCTATTCCCCGTGGCGCAGGGTCGCCACCAAGCTAGGAGTGAAGTAAGTCCTACAAAACAAAAAAAAATGAAAAGAACAAAAGCTATATCCCTTTTTCACCACCTGTTTCGATCCTAACTCTATACTCTCTTATTATTGTGATTTACAATTTGTGAATCACTTTTTCAGTCTTTTTCTATCCATCTTCAGTCGATCTGTCTATACTATATCCAACTGATTTTTGGGATGTTTTGGTTTTAAAGAAATTTAAGGTGGTAATACTGCTAAAATGTTAAATTATACTTTTACTTGAAAAGTCCTATAAATTTGACAGTATTGTCCATATCCTCATCACAATGTTGCCAAGTGTTACTACATTTATCTATATATCTGATTTTTTAAATTTCTTAAAAACCAGACACCCTTATAGATTTGCAAATACAGCTGTAAAAAGTTTTGTTTGCCCTTTGAGAAGGTATTTTTTAAATTTTTTCTATTTATGAACTTTTTCGGTTTTTGCACTTTTTGCTAAGGCTTTTCAGCTTTTTGCATGGACCTTTGTCTCTATTTATGCCACAACCACCAAACATACAGTGCTGAGTCACATGATGAATCGTTTTATTATACTATTTATGATTTTTTTTTGGGTTTTTTTATATTCTTGATCAATATTGAATTTTATGGATGTTTACTCATTACAATGTTTTACAGCCAAATTCTTTGCGACGATAAAGAGACAGATACACATCATAGCCACCACGATGCCACAAAGTAAGTAAAAAAACCTTAAAGCTTGAAGGTAAAGACGCAGAAACATAAAATCGGTCATTTTCTTTAGTTTTTCCGACGACGTTCCGTTGGTACCACTGGAATTTTTATCGGACTCTCCCCTAACAGCCACCGAATTGTGTTCGGACTTTAGTTTAGGCTTGCACGAACCAGAACCAGATTCATGGACCCCATATGTCGGTAAAGACATTGCGAGAAAACTAAAGGAGAAAGAAGTTAAAAGACAGGAGCACATCTACGAGTTTATACTGACAGAAAAACATCACTGCATGACCCTGCTTGTCATGCAAAAAGTAAGAAAATATCAATTTTATTTTTTTCAATATTCCACTAAAAATAACATGTTTAAAATCTCTTCAAATTTTAAAGATTTTGCATGTTTTGTGGAAAACTAAACTTCCTACAAAAAATCTATTCACTTTTTTCTTCTTAAAACCTTATGCGCAATTAACGTAATTTGGTAATGGTACCGCCCTTTAAGTAAAGTTAAATTTATCACATGTTTTGTAATGCAAGGCGCGAATTCAATATTTACTTTGCTAAATAACGCAAGAGGAATTGATAAAAATATTTCACCGCGCAATATCCATGAAAGAAAAATATCTTGACCAGGAAATAGTAATGATCATGTAGGACCATTTTTAATTAATTTAGATTCAAATGATAGTAGCGATGACGATGCGCGTTAAATACTTTTTTCCTACTTGAAGAATCAGTGCTGTCAATTTGCGGGTAAATGCTCACATCGGTGAGCATTTAGATATGCTGTGGGGTAAAGTGTGAGGATTAACATTTTTTGAGGATTTGTGAGGATTCTTTTACCTATAGTAGGTAGGTACGTATGTTTATAATATTATTAATTTACTTTTAAAAATGATAAATTTTTTTGTTGCCAAGTCCGGCAACACTTTTGGCCAATTGTTTAGACTGTTGACTACGAAATTACTAAATAGAGTCCCCACAGAGGTTTTTCTATGAGAGTACCTATAAGAAGAGAGTCTGGTCAACTGTAACACAAATCCTATTGGTGCATTAAAATTGGACCTAAAGATGGCGCAAAAAGTCATCATTTGAATAAAAGCTCAAATAAAAGTCAGTCTTAAAACACTAACGCGTAAATGTAAATATTATTTGTTTTTACTAGTATTTAGTTACATATTAAATAATTCTTAGCAATTTATTGCAAGAAACAATTTAATCAGGCCAATTCACTAACATGAGTCGTTAACTTTACCCACTTGATCAGTGGTTATCGGCCAATCAGGTCGATTAAATATAGCGATAACCACTAAATCTAGTGGCAACGTTAACGACTTATGTTAGTGAATTGGCCTGAATGTCACGTTTAAACTTTGTCAATACCAGTGGCGTGCCCAGAAATTTTGTCTGGGAAGGTTAAGCATATGGGATGGTAGAATAAATGGGTAAACAAATCTAACATTGTTTTTTTCTTCACTATTTTGTTTAAACATTCTGAGCCTTATGGGGGGGTTGGAACCCCGATTTTTTTAAATAATTCAACTTTTAACTATTTAAATAATAAATCTTAGTAAAAATTTGGCGGGGATTTTGTGAGGACTTTGATTTTATTGCGAGGATAATTGTGACCATTTTGAAAACTAATTTCGGGTATTATCGCAGTTCTCGATTGACAGCACAGGATAGAATATATATCTGAGAAGTTCAATTTTGCGCTTTATGGAGTTCGCATTGCTCTTTAAGACAGTAGCAAAATTGGATTCCCAACGTAGAAATACAGTCGTATGCAAATAAAAAGCGTACAGCCTTAGAATGAGAGGTCAAATATGGAGTTAGGTTATAAAAAATACAGTCCTGTAGATGTAAACCAGCCGTCAGTTTGACAGCTAATTGAATAATGCCTCGTCAGTTATCTGAATTTGAAAAAACTCGTATAATTATAAAAATTGAAGACGGATGGTCAATCCGTATCGTAGCGCAGTTTTTTAATAGAAATAAAAGCAAGATTTTGAAAATTAAACAACTTTGGGAAGAAGAACAATCAATTAAAAGAAAAGTTGGTACAGGTCGGCCAAGAATTTCCTATCCTGGACAGGATGCAAATTTATTAAGATTTTTAAGAAACAATCATTTTGCAACGGCCAGGGATGCGGTCATTGATACTGCATTTCCTGGCGCTTAATCCACCGCCAGCAGAAGAATACAGGAATCTGAGCTTAGATCTCGTCCGGCTGCGAAAAACTTTACTAACAGAAGAACGGCGTCAAGCCAGAGTTATTTTTGCTTTAAATTACATACACCGGAATCCTCAATATTGTCACAATTTTATTTTTACTGACGAAAAGACGTTCCAGCAGACTTACAATGGCCAAATACGTGTATATCGTCCAGCAAATACCAGATTTGAACCACAGTATACTAACCCACTTGCATCAAGATATTGGGCTAGATAAGTGTTCATGGAACTGGTGTTTGCTGGCGAAAAGAGAACAGATTTAATGCCGAAAATTACGTTAACATTTTAGAAAACATATTTCTACCCTCTGTTGACCAAATTTATCCTAACAACAATTTTATATTTGAACAAGATAACTGTCCAATTCACACTGCTAACGCTGTTACCCACTGGTTTCAAACCAATAATGTGGAACTGCTGCCCTGGCCTATAATAGGGCAAGCAAAAATTCAATCCCCACCACAGTGGGTTTATATAAGTTTGACACTCTTTTTATTCAATTGTATCTATTCGTTTTAATACACACTGTATATGCCTATATACCGTATTTTTATTGGAAATAAATATACTTGAGTAAACCTGAGTGAACCCGAACGCCCCTCAGATGCATTGTAAGCGGCGACGATTCAGTTATGTTTTGCATTTGCTATAACACTATAGTGTGTATTTCAAGCGTTTTAACATAAATTAATTTCTCTTATACAAGTTATTATGTCCTACATATTGCAAGAGAAAATTGACATTATAAGCTGGACTTTAGTGGACAATTATCCGGATCGTTCTATTCCGTCAATTAGAACTATAACAAACGTTATCCAAAGATTTAAAACAAATGGTTGTATTTAATTTATTTATTTACATTAATTGATTTTTAGTTTTTTTTTAAGAGAATTGATTTATTTATTTTTATTTCTAGTTTTTTTTAAGAATATACTTTTAGTTAAATGCAAAACAAATAATGATGATTACCCCTTTAATTAATAATTTACTGTTAAAAGTGATTACTTTACATTTTAAGTATATGAATAATTTTTAAAAGTAAATAACATAATAATTCGTAATTCGTATTAATAATTCAGAGCAAACTTTGACTCACCCAACGCCGATGAAGGGTCTACTGCTGAATTACGAAAACCAAAGACGAAAACCGTCTCTCGGCGTCTCCCACTCGAAGCGAATGCGACCTGTCTACATGTAAAATAAAATTACGGTAGATATATGATTTAAACTTGTTATTTTTAGAGGGATATGATGTAGAAAATCCTCTCTACAACAAAACTTTTTTTCTGAATTCATAAATCTTGTTGATTTTTAGGTTTTTGTGGATGGTTTGCATAAATATTTTCAGTTGGGTCCAAACTTGGAAAGAATGTTTCCAAGACTAGTAGATTTGACGGAATTACATTTGGGTTTACTGTCTAGGTTGAGACAAAGGCAAAGGGAGAAACCTGTGGTTACTTCAATTGCAGACATTCTTTTGGATGAGTTTTCCAATATTCATTCTGCCAAGTTAAAATCCGCCTACGGTATGTAAGCAGCTAAAATACTTGAACAATCCCATCAATTTTTGTTCCAGGTGAATTTTGTAGCAGACACAGAGACGCAGTTGAAACTTACAAATATTATCTTCAAAACGACGCGAGGTTTGGCGAGTTCGTTCGCCATTGTCAAACGAACCCCCTACTAAAAAAGAAAGGCATACCTGAGTGTATTTTATTTGTGACCCAACGTCTAACAAAGTACCCCCTCCTGATAGAACCACTGATAAAAACAAGCAAAGAAAACCGCCAAGAACAGGAAGCGCTACAGAAAGCTTTAGCGTTGGTCAAGGAAATTCTTGTGGAGGTTGACGCCCAAGTGGCTGAAAAAGAGAAAGAAGACAGAAAGTTGGAGATTTACAACAAAATCGATGCTAAATCTTACACTGTCCATAGAGGTCACAAATTCAAGAAGTCTGATATCCTGCAAGGAAATAGATCACTAAGATTTGAAGGGGTGGCTATGTTAATGCAGGGAAGGGGTAAAATGCAGGTGGTCCTTGTGATTGTCCTGTCGGACGTCCTGTTTTTTCTTCAAGAAAACTCCCACAAGTACTCGTTTTTCACTCCTGATAATAAGGTAAGATTTCCACAATATAAACCTTCAGAGTATAAAAATGTTTTTTTAGGCAGGTGTAGTATCCTTACAAAAATTATTGGTAAGGGAAAAAGCTGGACAGGATTCCAGGGGTATTTATTTAATATCATCCAATCCTGCAGATCCTGAAATGTTTGAGCTTAAAGTTCACAAACCTAAGGATAAGCAGATATGGATTCAAGCAGTAAGGTAAGTTGACATGTTCAAAAATGTATTGTCCTTATAGAGGTCCTGATTTAGATTTTTGTGGAAATAATTAAATTTTTTTCAGAGAGGCTGTGCAATGTTGTCCTGAAGATGACGAGGACCACATAACTTTAGACTCTGAAGAAAGACAGAGCATATTGAACGCGAAACAAAATCAAGTTCGTCACCTAGTCGGTAAGTTAGAGCTTAATTTATTTCTAGAGATACCTCATTGCATGCAAACACCACCATGTATATAGAAAATCCTTTAATATCCTTTATTCCTCATCTAAGACTAAAATCAAATAGTGTAAATATTTTGTTGCTTTCCCACAGATTCTAATACGGATTTAGAAGGTAACTTCGTTTGCAACAGGCAGTTGCATGGAAAATTTCTTTTATTTGTAATGATTTTATCTTTTTTCCAAAATTTAATATTACTTTTATTATAAATTAGAACTTAAATTTAATGTGGTAGCTATTTTTATTATATATTTTGATAAGTTTAAATATTTAATTACCCCATTTTGTATCTCTGTTATTTTTAAATTTTAATTTAGTAGTTGCTTGTTCCATTTTTTAAAAATCTTTAATTGTAGGTCCAAATGAATGTAAATTTTATAACAAGATATTTTAATTATATAAACAATGGTTTTATTTTTGAAACAATTTCATTTCCATATGGTTTAATATAAATAATAATAAAAAATCGGGTGTTTGTTTCAAAATTATTTTTCAATTATTTAAGTTGGTGAGTGGGACTAAAATTTATGTATCTCACTAACATGTTAATGCAGTTTTAAGTATTGAAGTTTGTTTTAGAACAACTTATTAGACTAAAATCAATATTTTAGGAAGCTATGCAGGGTGCCCAAGTATACTTCTATGGGTATTTTTTTATTTGAAGAGCTACAAGGTTGGTTAAATTGGATAAAAGTTACCTAATTAGAAGCATATTAACAAGAAATTTATAGATTGATAAAATGCTAGTGGTTCTCAAAGTATAAAAAAAAAACAAAAACCTTTCAAAAACGACAATTCTTATTATTCCTGGAAAATTTAAAACAAAGTAAGTTTTACATCTAAACATACACAATAATGTAGTTTGATACATTGTTGGATTCCTTGATTTTTTTCTATCTAACCATGCAAAATTCCAATATTGCGGCCATATATCTCAAAATCTAGTAGGCGAAAAAAATCACAAATTGTATGAAAATGTAGATAAATTTACATGTAAACCTTACTTATCTTTCCAGGAATAACAAAGTTATAACGATATTTGATGTTGGCAGGTTTTCAGTTTTTTTAATGATTTAGAAACCTCTGTTTTTTAGTTTTTAAATGCCTTTTTAATAGACTACGCAACTTTTGTCTAATTTGCTTTTTAAATAAAAAAGATACCCACACACAGAAGGATACTTGATGCCTCTGTGTATTTGACAGCATGTTTAATAGGTAAAACTAAATCTACACAGTGCATGAAAAAGCATGTTATTTCCAGTTTTAATCAATTTGACGTTTTTTGTGTTTTTTACCAAATATTAACTTGATTGATGTTAAAGGATTGCTTAGACAAAAGGACATAGAGCAAGCGTTACTATTGGAGGAAAAAATGTCCTTGCAACTTAAGTTATTGGCGGCAGCCGGTTTGGAGCCACCGTCGCCGCCATGTTACCGCCATCTGGTGAGCGAAAATGCCGACACGGGCCAGATGTGGAAGGAGGTTCTCACCGCTGTTCAGGTAAACTTTAAAAACTTTACTGACTTTTTAAAACATTGTGGGGCAACTTAAGGATGTTTAAATTTGTATTTAATAGGAAGTGAGCCAATTGGCCAGCTCTTTGTACACAACTGGAACCAATTTATCGAGAAGTGTTAGTTCGGCCGGCGAACACCAGAGTGACACTTACGTCTCCCCTATTTTACCAAAACGAGCGGAAACCTTCGGTGGTTTCGATAATTGTAACCAACCTCCAAAATTGACCGGAAAAAAATTACAAGGCAATGAATTGGATAATATTAAACCGGGAGATTCCAGATTATTCGTAAGAAACTAATTTCTTACTTGTATATTAACATTCTTTAACATTATATTTTTAAGGAACGCCTTCCTTACAGAAACTGCGTCATAACAGCCGGTACACAAATAACCAACGGTAACATAATCAGTAACACTGAACAACACATCGTGACCGATGTTCCGGCGTTACTAACTTTGGGTAGAGAGCAACAATACGCGGCGATTCAACTCTCCCATTACGTTTATACTCTTTTGTGCATAATATCGCAGTTAATGACTACAAATGAGAGCTTGCAGGCGCAAATAATGACCATCAAAGGTGGTAGTGAGGGTTCAAAACAATACAGACACAACCAACAGTTGGAGGAGTTGAGAAACTTGCAAGATAAGTTAAGTGGTGAAAAAGCGGCCTGGGCTGCTAGCAGAGATCAAGAGGCTAAGGAGTTAGAGGAGAAGAAAGCGGAGTTACACAGATTAGAGGTACATCTCGCCAATATCAACATTACTTTTTGTTGAATAAAGAACTGTGTTTTAGGAGCAATTAAGGGCTGAACAGAAGGACATAACGCAGCAAAGGGAGCAGTTGTACCGTAAAATGGAGGTTCTTACAAGTCAAGGGTTGTTGATATCCCCCAACACAGCAATACCGGTTACGGGACAATTGGAGGACAGTTCCGAAGAGAGTAGTCCCCAATCGGATACTTCCTCTGCTGCTTCGGCTGTAGGTTCGGGAAGCGGAAGCGGAACTTCCTTGACGCACACCATGTCGATCTCGGAAAGACGAAAGGATCCCAAGTGGACAAAAGGTAAGTAACTTAACCTAAGTGTTTTGATTTCAGCGTAGCCAGGCTAAATACACTAGGTTTTGATAGATTGATAAAAAATGCTACCAAACTAGGTTTGCAAGGTTTAAAAACTATAGAACAGATGTTTTTAAATAATTGGTTCTACAAAATAATAATAATAGTGGGGTCCACAAACACAACTTAAAAAAGTTTATCTACTCCTACATTGACGAGCTGTCACTTTATGGCGTTTTATTGATGGGCTGAAGTTAACAACAGTTGCTTTTCGACATTTTACGTCACGGGCTGAAGTTAGCTTTATTATAAATTGGGAAAAAGTGAGGTTAAATTCGGGTGACAGTTGACAGATTTCAAAATTTTAACAAATAAAATTGGCTTTAAATTCTGTTTTGTGTTCGTCGTAGATAAAGTATAGTATGCAACTCGTTTATAAACTTCTCTAGACACTCGTTTTTATTAAACACTCGCTCGCAAGCTTCGCTCGGGCCCAATAAAACTCGTAACTAAAATGGCGTTTATAAAACTTGATACATAATATACTATTATCTACTCCTACATTGACGAGCTGTAACTTTATGGCATTTTATTGACGGGCTGAAGTTAACAACAGTGGCTTTTCGACATTTTACGTCACGGGCTGAAGTTAGCTTTATTATAAATTGGGAAAAAGTGAGGTTAAATTCGGGTGACAGTTGACAGATGTCAAAATTTTAACAAATAAAATTGGCTTTAAATTCTGTTTTGTGTTCGTCGTAGATAAAGTATAGTATGCAACTCGTTTATAAACTTCTCTAGACACTCGTTTTTATTAAACACTCGCTCGCAAGCTTCGCTCGGGCCCAATAAAACTCGTAACTAAAATGGCGTTGTGGTTTGAATTGTTTATAACTTTTTTATTTAAACAATAATTATTATAAATATTTTTTTTAAATGCAGTATAATAATGGGGAATATTTTTGGTTTAATTATGGAAAATTATATCGCGCAAGTGGTGACCATTTTCTGCTTCGCATATTCGTGCTCTTTCCAAAACATTTTCCATAACCTTTCGCAAAATTTCAGGTGTTATGGCCTCGATTTCATGCCGAATATTGTTTTTTAATTGCGGGATGGTTCTAGGCTTATTAACGTACACTCTTTGTTTCAAATATCCCCAAAGAAAACAGTCAGGAGCCGTTAAATCCGGTGAACGCGGAGGCCAATTGAAATCGCTTCTGCGCGAAATAATGCGTTCGCCAAAGATGTCCCGTAAAAGAGCCATTGTGTCCCTCGCAGTATGCGCTGTGGCTCCATCCTGTTGGAACCATAATTGTGGATGGTTTTCCACAGCTGGCCTCAAAAAATTTTCCAACATCGTCCGATATTGACCACCATTGATGGAAACTGCGACACCGTCTTCGTTTTCAAAAAAATATGGGCCAATAATCCTTTCGGATGATATACCGCACCAAACAGTGCACTTAAGTGGGTGTAATTGTCGCTGATGAACTGTTCTCGGATTTTCCGTAGCCCATATTCTGCAGTTTTGCTTGTTAACGAACCCATTTAATTGGAAATGGGCTTCATCGCTCATTATTAAATTATGAATAAAATCAGGGTTTTCTTCTGCTTTTTGGCGGAAATAAATTGCATAATTAAGCCGTTGCTGGTAGTCTGTCGGCTTTAATTCTTGCACAAGCTGTATTTTATATGGGAACATGCTTAATGTACTCAAAATTCTCTGCAGTGACCTTCGTGATAGCCCAAGTTTTGTCGAACGTCTCCTTGTTGATGTTTCTGCATTTTCCTCAATACTCTCCCGTACACGTTCAATATTATCATCCGTGTGCACCGTACGTCGTCTTCCGGCACCAGGAAGGTTCCTTAATGTCCCTTGTTGTCGAAAATTTGCAACTATACGGTTTATTGTTGGCTCTGAGGGTCCATTTCGCACATTAAAATATCGACGATAAGCACGCTGAGTCAAAACAATGGACCGTTGATTTGAAAAATAAAGTTCAATGATTTGGGCTCGTTGTTCGATTATGTACTGTTCCATTTTAAATTTCCCAAGTGTTCTTTACAAAATACTGAAATAAAATTTAAAAAATTAAATGAAATAAAAAACTTATAGGAAATTCAAACCCCTACGTTCATTTCGCGCCACCCAGTATTATCTACTCCTACATTGACGAGCTGTAACTTTATGGCATTTTATTGACGGGCTGAAGTTAACAACAGTGGCTTTTCGACATTTTACGTCACGGGCTGAAGTTAGCTTTATTATAAATTGGGAAAAAGTGAGGTTAAATTCGGGTGACAGTTGACAGATGTCAAAATTTTAACAAATAAAATTGGCTTTAAATTCTGTTTTGTGTTCGTCGTAGATAAAGTATAGTATGCAACTCGTTTATAAACTTCTCTAGACACTCGTTTTTATTAAACACTCGCTCGCAAGCTTCGCTCGTGCTTAATTAAACTCGTAACTAAAATGGCGTTTATAAAACTTGATACATAATATACTATTAAAACCCGCTGGTTTTTTATTAACTTCACTTTTTCTACACAAACTGTTTTAAACCATAACACATTTTCAACTTCAAAACTCATAAGTATTTGTATGCATAGAAAAAATAGTATAGCTAATCTAAGAATATCAACTTAAGCTAGACATAACTTTTTTAAGATTGTCAACTTAAGCTATACATAACTTTTTTAAGAATGTTAATTTTAATTTTGTAAATCTTAAAAAATACAAAATAAAAAAAAGTCCAGTAAATCCAGTAAAACCTCGTAAATTTTAGTAAAAAAAATGTAAATCTTGTAAAAAAATTGTATTTTTTACATTTGTCAATTTTCAATAAAAAATACAAAAAATTAAATTAATTTTGTAAATCTTAAAAAATACAAAATAAAAAAAAGTCCAGTAAATCCAGTAAAACCTCGTAAATTTTAGTAAAAAAAATGTAAATCTTGTAAAAAAATTGTATTTTTTACATTTGTCAATTTTCAATAAAAAATACAAAAAATTAAATGTATCTAATTTTGTAAAAAAAGGATTTTGTAAATACGTCCAAGACATTTTGTCAATTTTGTTAAAAATCTAGTAAATATAAGTAGAAAAAAAATCCAATTTTATAAAAAATACAAAATACATTTTTGTAAATATAGTAAAAAATGCAAGAATTCTGGTTAAATTTGTAAAAAATAGAAATTTTGTAAATCTTGTTCAAAGTTGAGTGATCATGTTTTATCACTTATAATAGTATTTTTTTTTAAATAATAGCTTACATCAAAAACTTTTTAATGATACCAAATACTTGCGGTTAAGGGCCGTATGCAGAAACGTTGATTTATTAATGTCAGCATATCAGTGGATATAGGTTTTTGCACGACATGGCAACGTAGTAATTTTCTTTAAAAACTATTGTTTTATAAAATAAATTGGGTAATTATCTTTCAACGTTTATATTTTCCCTAAAAAAGTCGATTTCTATACATTTACATTTTAAATTAGACAAAATTTCATCAAACCTTCATCAAGATTTGCTTTTAACCATAGAAAATAATTTTGCTAATATAAGTCATGGTTTACTAGATTTGTTTTTTTGGCCAATAAAATCATCTAAAATGTAAATTATTTGATAAAATTTATATCAGTTGTTAACGACTGATTTAAAATATGGATGAAAATAGACAGTATTTTTGTTTCTAAGTATATATAAAAAAATAATTCAGAAGATTAAAATACCTATAACAAAGATATAATTAAAAAATAACATATTTTAAAGATAAAATTACTACTATGTTAATTATATCAAATATCTTTGCTGTTTTTTTGTCTGATTGAAAAGCTGAATGCTTGAAATCAATTGATTTTCACTTTCTTTGGTTTTATTGTAAAATAATTACGCCTAACATTAAACTTGGGTAAAAATATTTATTGAGTCATTTTTTTATTATTAAAAACATACATACTGTCGTATGCAAATAAAAAGCGTACACGTATTAAAATGAGAGGTATGTAATTATACGAGTTTTTTCAAATTCAGATAACTGACGAGGCCTTATTCAATTAGCTGTCAAACTGACGGCTGGTTTACATCTATGGCACCACAATCCACATGATTTAATAATTGGATTTCAAGGGCTAGTATAATTATTATACTAGTCCTTGAAATCCACTACAACGAAAGCCCAACCCTAACCAAACTAATCAATTTGGTTAGAAAATCAGTTAATCCTGCGATTAAAGCCACCTCGCCGGTGGATCTCGTAATCGAACATTTTTCGCGCGGTGCATGACAAACTTTCGAACTAAGCGAGATTAAACTCTTAATCGAGCTTAAGTCCATACGGTGCATACGGGCATTAATGCAGGATTAACTGATTTTCTAACCAAATTGACACAGACAAATTTGTCAAATTGATTAGCTTGGTTAGGGTTGGGCTTTCGTTGTAGTGGATTTCAAGAACTAGTATAATTAAATCATGGATTTAAAAGAAGTACTATTTGTAGACATTATTATAATTGATCGCCGACGGTGGACTAGTGGTTAGTGCTGCTGACTACAAGCCGGAGGTCGTGGGTTCGAATCCCACCAGGGGTATGGCTGTTTATTTGTGTTTGTCCTATTGTGTAATAGTCCTTCGGAGCCCGCGGTCCGTTCCTACCCCTAACCCGCTCAAGCCATTCAGTTGGCTTCTGGGACTTCTTAGGAAGTAAGGGTGGAACTAACTAACTTGTATAATTAATTTTGGATTTCCGCGACGAAATTATGAAAGGAGCGAATATTTTGACACCATGGACAATTTTTCATTTTTTCGCCGATTTCGATTGACTAAACCCACCGTTTTAAACTTTCTTAATGAAATTGAATATTGAAGCCCAGTTCTGTTAGTTTTTTTGTCTTCCAATATTTTAGAATACCTCCTAGCAATCATCATTAGATTTTCTTTTTCCGCTGGTGAAAAGTTAGGAATTCTGGTCTCCCATTTTATAGATAGACGAAGGATGATCCAAGAAATTTGTCTATATAAAAATTATTGTATATTAGGCATATGCATATATAACAAAATTTAAATTTTAGTTTGTCAACATAGCTTTGTTAACTATGGTTTGTTTCTCTATGGTTGTCAATCGATTTCAATTTACGATTTACAGTTTTTTTGTTTTTTTGACAAATAAAACCGCGTTGCCAAATCGCCAATCCAGATTGTACAATCCGCGTACGGTGCATTATGATGGAGAAAGATTAACATAATCGCGATTTGCTAACTAGGCTTAGGCTTTAAAACGGTGCATACGGGCATAATGCCATTAATTTGATGTAGTTATACAAGTAAACGTTCTTTAATTACCATATGAACAGCTTATACAAAAAAAGTCCCATGTGTTACCATACTTTTTTGTTATTTCTATGCTTTTAATTAAAATACTATGTATTTTAAAATGACACGCATTACACATAAAGATATGAGTGGATAAAGGTGTTAATTACATGGACCCTACACAAGGAGTACAAACTCCATGTACTTCCAGAGGGCGCTAGTGTTCTGTTCGTTGTTTTCTCTGCACCGAAAGAGCAGACGTCATTACAAAATGGAAATCAGCGCTGCTAGTGGTAAAAAAAGAATACGTAATTTGTACGATTTAGTTTAAAGGTTCTGTCAATTCCCCCTATTAAGTTTATACTCCTTGTGTTGGTTTCATGGATAATTACTTGCCATTAAGTGAATGGCAAGTAACCCTTAATAAAGGGTTTTCAATTACTAAAGAACACACATAACAAAACGTTTTGTGCGTGTAATCTTCCCTTGTAATTTGCCCGCAAAATTTCAAATCGGTTACATTTGAAATTCAGTTGGGCACTTATGATTGTGACGGTCATTTATAAAAGTGACGCCCAACTCTATAAAAAACCCAAGCAATTTTGTAGATCTTGTAAAAAAATACTTACAAGATATTTTGTCAATTGTGTAAAAAATACAAAAAAGGAGTATCTGAATATAGTAAGTACGTGGTCTAGTGGTTAGTGCTGCTGACTACAAGCCGGAGGTCGTGGGTTCGAATCCCACCAGGGGTATGGCTGTTTATTTGTGTTTGTCCTATTGCGTATTAGTCCGCGGTCCGTTCCTACCCCTAACCCGCACAAGCCATTCAGTTGGCTTATGGGACTTCTTAAGAAGTAAGGGTGGAACTAAAAGAGCACTTTTTTTGGTATAATAAAAATTCAAGAATTCTTGATAATTTAAAATTTGGTTAATCCTGTAAAATCATAAGATTTTATAAAAAATGTAACTGCATTAAGACCAATCCATGATTTCTTTAGGCAAAATGTACCTGCAATAATTTAGCTCTGGAAACGCTGTTTTAGTGTTTATTTTAAGTTTATTTCGACGTTATTTTTTGTTTTTTTCTTTCTCGCCCCTGTTTAGGTACTATGCCTAAACTCCCGCTAAACCTGATCAGTACGACAAACCAGCAAAAGGTGTCGCAACCGATCAAGCAGCAGATTCCGTTCAAGCTGGTTTCGAGGCTAAGCGCTGGCGGAGGCGTCGGCGTCGTGACTAACGTTAGCTCTTCTTCTTCTTTAGCGGGTCAGCAGCAGCAAGGTTCTCCAGCTGCGCAGATGCAGATGCTGCCACTTAAGCTGAGTCAGGACGAGAAAGTGCGCAGGACCAGCACGAGCGGGTACCAGAGGCTCGGGTCCGATAGCTTCAGTCCGCCGTCGGGAGATACGGTAGGAATAATATTAATAACCTTTATTGGCTCATGTAGCTTTCTACAAGAAAAATAAAAATATATTAAAGTTTTTTTTATATGGACTGCGGCAACGTTGCAAATTTAGGGTTTTGGTTGGTAAATAGGGAAACAAAATTGGTTGCATTGATTAAAACAAACTAAACTAAGTATAGTTATAAATGTAATTATAATGTAATTCTGGTTATGTTTAAATTATTGAACGGTTGTCAAGTTGAGTCGTCAAAATTCGTAGTTAAAAATGCAATTAATTTTGCTTTGGTGGTGCATAGATGAGTAAAATTATATAAAAAAGTAGTTAAATATAGGTGACTATGGCCCAGGAGAAACAAAGTATTCCTAGCGGATAATAATTTTCGCTTTGAAAAGAATTAATTTTTTATATAATTTTTATAAAAGAAATTAAAGATTTATGTGAACGTAAATGTTGTCCAACCATTGGACTCCAGTGGTAAATGGGTATTTTGTTAAAGCCAATTGAAGTGAATACTTATAGTGGCTTAATAATAAAAATAATGTACATATTGTCCATGACTATTAATAATCAGTAACTTGCAAATTGAAAGAAGAAAAAGTTTCGTGATTATTGCTTATCTTTTTCAAACCAAATGGACAGGAAAATTAACTACTGGATTTTTCACAAAAAGGTTAAACCTAACAGCAAATATTTTTATTTACAAATCGTTATTTTTTCATTGATTTCATTACTTAATCAATTTGTGAATATTTATGCATTTTCTTTTTTAATACTTACTGTGGTAGTTTTCTTTACTTAAAAAAATAAAAATCGTTCGCCGAAAATAACTTTTATTTTCTTGTTTACATCAAATATATATCATCGCGATTTCTTTAAGAAAATCTTCATACAATCCATAAATTTTCATGAGAGCCACTTAAACTCCAAAAATGTCCATAAGGCTATGTACCTACTTTTTCTGCCATTGAGGCATTTGGCATAACTTGATCGAAATGAAGTTTTGCCCTTAAAAGTTCTTTTACTTTAGAATCAGATATTTTTGGAATAGTTATCTTTTTATATCGATTAATTATATAATATTTAATAAGTAAATTATTAATATTAAATATTACTGTCAATTTGACATGGTCAGAGTAATTAAATTAACGAAGTGGCTATTTATACGTCCGACGTATACAAAATTTGGTATACGTCTTGAGCTTTCATTGTTGAGTTTGGGTTGGTTTCGCTCACTGTCAATCAACTTAAATGGGCAAAAGTGAGCGAAACCAACCCAAAACAATCCAAACTCAACAACCCAACAAAACCGACCCCGCCCCATTGGGCCCCCCGCCCCATAGAGGAATAGAGGCCTATTTTGTAGGAAGAAGTTTTTGCCTCATATTTAGCCATTTTTATACTTATTTATCAAATACTTAATTTTGCTTACATGATTTTTGTAAATTACTTCATTTTTATATATTTTTAACGTTATTATTATAAAATTCAGCAGTTTGAATATCTGACAATTTTCATTTTGAAGTTTATAGGTTAGATTAACTTTTTCAAACTAGCCAATGAAAGCACAAGACGTATACCAAATTTTGTATACGTCGGACGTATAAATAGCCAGTTTGTTAAATTAAGGTCTTCAGCAGAAGCATTTTTTAAGTACTAAAAACAAAGATAATATCTTTGACTAAAAATACTTAATCAAACTCGCATAAGCTACCAACTTAATAAAAAAACACAAGTCCAAATAAAAAAAAACTTTATATCGACAGTTTTAGCACAATAAGAACACACGGCCATTTCAGGCGCAAGAAACGCACGAATTACAAAACTGTTTTTCTAAAAAAAAATTAGATAATTTATTATACAGGGTGTTATGTAATTAATGTTATATATTAAAATGGGTTGTTCCTTAGGGTCCATAAAGAAGCACCTGAAACTTTTTTTTTTCTAAATTCCAAAGTCTAAAAATAATTTATAATAACCTTTATCCTACCAAAAAGTACGCCACTGATCGACTAGGAACTTTAGGTTAATCTGGTGGATTTATTATGTTATGGTTGGTAACAACAGTGTTTCCAAAATCTTTCAAAAAAGTTGCCAAGCATTGTTTAAATTTAGCTTAATTACAAAAATGACAAAATTAACAATGCAAATTGTCAATTTGGCGTTTTTATTAATTGTTGGTTATTTCATTTTTGTACTGAAGGTAAATTCAAACAAAATCTGCCAACTTTTATGACAGAATCTAGTGCATTTATTTTAAATTTTAGGTTATGTTTTCAAATTGTAAATATCTTAAATAAGGGAAGTGCTTTTGGATTTATTTACACAAATTAAATGTTTAAAGTTTAACCTGTGAACTGGTCCCAATTTCATCTGAGTAAACAGAGAAAAAAACTGATGAAAAAATTAATTTTGTGGTTATGGATTTCAAATTTCAAAGGTACTAAATTTTCTAATCATTGCTTAAGATAATAGCTGGATCAGTAAATAAATACAGAAGGGTATTAGAGCTTTAAGGGCATAAAACTTTTGTATTTATTGAGTTTTTATTTATTTTTTGCAAGAAAAATTTTTAGTAACAATTTTTTACATCTGGCAACGCATAGCTACTTTGTTGGTTGGTATCTATGTACTCACAAAATACAGGTGTGCAGAGATAAACAAGTGTGTAACCAGTGGCGTATCACAAAAAATATAAAAAACTTCTAATGCATATTTTTTCTTTATCTTTGGAAAAATGTTTTTTTTAATATTTTTCCTTTATTCCTTATGTCAAAAGGTATTCAGTATTTTAATATATAACATTAATTACATAACACCCTGTATAATATTTTGGCATCAAAACTATTCTTCTATTATTAGGCTATACATTAAATAAAAAAAACGCAAGAAATATTTTATAAAAGTAGAGATAATTGTAGTGATTGAAAGGTGTGAATGGGACAAAAAAAATATTTATCTTGTCCCGTCCACACCTTTCAATTATTAAAATTATCTCTACTTTTATAAAAAATATTTCTTGCGCTTTTTTTATTTAATGGCCATTAGGCTATATAGCCTAATAAAAAAAGAATATTTTTGACAAATTTGATGCCAAAATATTATATAATAAATTACCTACAATTTTTTTTATAAAAACAGTTTTTTCAACTTTAAAGCCTAATAACTAAAAAAACTGCTTGTATGAAAAATAATTTAATGTAAATAATAATCCTTTTTTGCTTTTTTAGTATTTGTTCTGAAATTTTATTTTTTAAGATTATAAAGGTTCAAGATTTTTTTTAAATTGAAGGTATTACAAAATTGTTTTTATAATTATTTAATTTTTTTTTATTTAAATATTTCTTGAATTTTGTACGGTCTTCTATATTTTTTTTATATTTTGAGACGTATAAATAAAACAGAATTAATTTCTTCAAGACACCAACAATGCCGGCGCACTCGCACAGCCGCACGGGTTCAAGTCCCGCGATGATGCAAGCAACCTCGCCGCCACCTCAAGGTCAAGGTCACAGCACCTACCCGACCTCGCACGGCGCACCGCCATCTGGAGGCGCCAAAGCGACGCGAACCCACACCTACCCAAAACTACCCGACAAGTTCAAGGTCAGGAACGAGCAGCAACAAGCCAATCAGGACGAAGAAGTAATCTACTTTTGACGAATTTCCGGCAAGGTGTTCCGCACGGTCCTGCGCGCGGTCCTCAGCAAAAAAGAAAGCGATTATTGAGGTTATGAAGTCACAGATAAAATTTTACAATTTCATACTCCAAATGTGATTTTAACTACTGTTAAATGTCTTCGTGCATTTGGAAACACTCTTGAGGTTTATAACCTCAATGTTGCCGTATTTTTAGAGGTTGTGTGTAAATGTGACCTTGTAAAATTCTTTAAAATTTCTAACCTGTGATTACTAGATTTATTTAAAAAAAAAAAACAAAACAAGAAGGTTAAATAGGATGATATGAGCAAACAATTTTTCGTTTGTCTTCCTTATATGTATAATATACATGATTTAAAAAAAACTTTAAAAAAATTACGTAAATCAGTATTCTTAAATTATTAACTCAAATCTTGTGACAATACAATATAGTTAGATATTATTTCGACGTTTTTAGAAACGTCTGTTTCTTAAAAAAATATTTTGTTATGAATAGTTTAATGTACAGGATATACTAATACAAAGTACCATAACAAGTATGGGGTAGATATTTTTTATCATTATTTAGTTTTAAACAATTATATTGGTTTTTCTTGAAATAAGCGACTTTACGTTTTGTAAAAAATAATCTCTATAGAAAGCAATAAGCCAATCAGCACACTAGTTGCGATGGAGAATGCCGTTCTGATTGGTTTATTGGTTTCCATATAGATCAAATTCTATAGAAAGTAAAAATGTAACTGAAAAGTTTTAAATATACATAAAAACAATGTCAAAAAAGTTCACTTTCCCATTTAACTTTTCTTTATTCTACTTAAAAACAAAGGTTTGGATAATAACAACACACTTTTATCAGTATATACTCAGTAACTTGCTGACAATATTGAAACTTGTTGAAATTTCTGTAATAATATGGGTAATACTTTGTGTAAGTATATTAGAAAAAAATGTTGATTCAAAACTTATACACTGTTGTTAATTGTTAATAGTTATTTATAGAATTTGTTCGAGCCCTAATTCCGATAAATATGCAGGGTACAACAAAAATACAGGCAGAATAGTAATAACAATACAATTCAAGCTTCCCTAAATTCCCAGTAGGTTTTGAGGCTTGGATCGCCTTGTAACAGGGTGTCCAACTACTTAGGGAATTTACAGAAATGTTTTTGACTTGTAACCAGAAAAATAGTTATCTGGCAAATAAAAACTATATTTATTTTTTTCAAGCATACAATTATTTACATATTATAAAACTCGTAAGTTTATATAGAAAGACTTTATATTAATACTAGTTCAAAAGAAATTATTATTTCATTATGTCAGTTAACCTAAAAATGATGTGACAGAATCCTAAGAAATAATTTAATTTTATGCACGATGACATTATAATATGACAATTATAACAAAAATTCTTTGACGTAAACGTCTTTTTATAGCCCGCGGGCGTTATTATGACCCAGCGGGCTATAATGAAACGTCAAAAATTAAAAACAACAATGTTACACTATTTGATATATTCGAAGTAAGTTTTTCGTATAAAGATTTTGATTTTTCCGATTTTTCAGCTGCTTCCTCAATTTCATTCATCTTTAAACTTAAAACTCTTTGACGTAAACGTCTTTAAAAACAATAATATATTAAAAATAATAATATATTAATTGTGCATAAAGTTTTGTATGCATTGCTGGCATAACTGGTTTTTATGGTCCTACGACGCTTTTCTAGCCCTCGCGCTAACGTGCTCGGGCTCGAACCATAAAAACCTTATTATGCCCTTAATACATAAATAACTATAATGCTTAAAAAAATAGTATATAAAACCTGTCAGCAAGGGTTTTAAAATTGAGCCGGTGAAAAAAAAAACGTTTTTTCCGTTATAAACAAAACTTGGTGAAATTTTCAAAAAATGGACTTTTGGATTTTTTATTTTATTTACCGGGTAATACAAAAAAAATGTCAATAGGTGAAATTTTTTTAGTTGTTTACGGACGATATCCGTACGCTGATATTTAAAAAAAAGTGATTTTAAAGTGTTCCAATTATTTTAATTCAGTATCATTAATATTCTACCGGGCCGCAAAAAAGATATTCGGTGTTGTTTACGTTTATTTTCTTAAATCAATTTAATTGAATTCAATGTTTAGTTATTTTATTTTTCTGTAAAAATGTGGATATTTTTCAAGGCCTGGAAAAACAGTAAAAACAATTTTTTCGACACTTTAAAACCCTACTGCCGGTGAAAGGCAGTAATTGCCTCGCACACAATCTACTGCCTCGGCTATCGCCTCGGGATTAAATAAATGCTCGGCGATATGTGCTTTCTCAGCCTGGTCTATAATGTACTATTTATTGTAAAGAAAAAAAATATTTCTGCTAGTTCCCTAAATCTTGGGACACATTGTATTTGTCGGTGTTGCCGCTTGGACGTAAAATGGCCTACTATTTTGTCTCTTCAGGATGTAAGTAGTTAATATATTAAACTATTTTTATAAGATCTATTTGTCTAACTTTTAAAACCAAAAAATATTGAATATATATGGTGTAATGCAATCTTTTCTATTAGGATTTTTTAAACTTTTTTCGAGTGCGGTGCCAAATATCTGTTTTTTTATTTGTCATAGTGTTTTTTATTGTTAAATGATATAATAAAGCTTATATGTTGTCGAAACTATAAGTTGGCTAGATAAAAATGTTAAATTTTCGTCCAGGAAAAACTTTTTGTTGGTTTTCTGGATTTTCTTCCTCTAATAACTAAAATTCCTCAATCGCAATAAGTCGTGTATAATGTGTGTGTTGACTGAATAGGAATACTTAATTAAATTAAACTTATTTTATATTCCTCTTTTTAAGAAAAATGCAACCTTGCCTTGTCAGACATTTTTCCGTTATTTAACACTCGACAACGTCTTTTTTAACTGTCAATATAACAGTACATATGCGATGTTGCCAGAGTGCAGAAATAATCGTGAAATTTAGTTTATTACATCTTATGTATATAAATTATTATCTTGAATTAGTTGTAATCTTTTACGATTTTTATTTGTATTATATAAATTTTTGTATTTAATATAGATTTTAAGCAGTATTTATTTTTTGTATCTCTTTTATTATTTTACATAACATTCCACTGTATGACAGAAATTTTCAAGTATTAGTTAATATTTTGAAATTTAAGTTTATTTTAACAAACCTTAGTGAGTGTAAATAATACTCTATATTTATTGTAAATATATTTGAATAAAGTGTATAAAACCGTTAAGAAGTCTTTTATTTGTTAACCTCAAATAAAAAAACATTTTCTAAATAGATATTTATTATTTAACTAACGCAAAAAAATATAAAAGGCATAAATAAATTTATTAAACTTAACTTATAAAAAAATAAAATATCACTGATTACTCATTGCTGGTAGAGGCTTCGTTTTCAAAAACTTGAAAAACGGTTACAGTAAAGTTGGCATCATTGAATTTACAGGAAACACAGAGATCAGCTATTCGAAAGACGTAACAGTGACTTCCCCACCTTTCTCTCAAATAAATTGACCTAGGATCTTCCCTTAAAACGTTCATTATCGTTGTTTTCTTTTCTTCGCCCTAAAATATTAAATTTTATGACATTTTAACAATTTGCAGTGATTTAAGTTTAAAATACTCGGCAGGCAAGGGCTCATTTGTTCGTTCGCGGGCAAAGCGAAGCGCGTTCTTAAGAGGCGCGCTTACTCATTAATTAATGCATTTATTTTGATTTTGATTTGATTTATAAATTATTTACAAAGCATTCACGGGCTGCAAGTAAGACGACCGCGGGCCGCATAATTTCTCTTTACATAACAATACATTTATTGTATATTACACATTGATAATATACCTACAATGTAATACGTTACAAATTAAAGAGAAATTATTTTATATAATTAACAGTTGGTATATCTTGGAAAATATCTAATCCATAATGTACTATGATGGACATCAAAAAGTCCCACCCAGTTTTATAGTTCTCTCTCTAACCTTGCCGCGAATACAAAACAACCAATAAGAAGTCGGTAGGCATTGTTGTCAAATCATGTGTATTTAGTTCAAAGAAGACTTCTTTATATGTGATTCAGTCTCAATTAGACCACGGCGAAAAACAGATCAAACTTGCAATAATATAACTTAATGGTAGATTTATTTTTATCGACCAAACGTGTGAAACGTTGAACAATCAACAAGTAGTAAACGTTAAAATCTGGCAACCCCGCAACTCAAAGCCTTGAACTGCATATGCTATCCCTTTGGTCTATATTAAAATTATTTAAAATAAAACTGTCACCACTGCGCATATAAAATAATTACTTGAGACTTTCTGCGCACACATTAAATCAACTGTTACCCACTGCGCATGGTTACAAACACCTGGTACCTTCTGCGTATGGACACAACCATCTGGTACTCACTGCGCATAGATACAACCATCTAAAAACTGCCACGCATAGTTAACCATCTTGTCCCCCCTTGCATAAAATTTTTTTGAGACTTTCTGCGCACACATTAAATTAACTGTTAACCACTGCGCATATAAACAACCACCTGGTGCCCACTGCGCATGGTTACAAACAATTGGTACCTTCTGCGCATGGAAAAACCACCTGGTACTCACTGCGCATGGATATAATCATCTGGTAACCACTGCGCATGGATCCAACCACCTGGTACATAATGAGCATAGATACAACCATCCGGTACACACTGCGAAATAACACAATCATCTAGTTAGTAACTAGTAGTTACTACTGCACCTACCTAATGCGCATACATAACTTCATTGAAATTACTAATTTCATTCAATTATGAATTATGAATTTCATTCAATGAAATTATAAATTTTATTCAATGAAATTATAAATTTCATTTAATGAATTGAATGAAAATGCACAAATCCAATGAATGGAATTTTTTAATTTGAAATCATTTCAATGAAATGTTTAATTCAAATCATTGTAATTGTGCATTCCATTCAGTGAAATAATGTAAGTGAATTATATTGATTGAAATTGACGCTGTTCATTTCAAACATTAAAATTAGTGGATCATTTTCTTTACCAATCAGTTTATTTCAAACATTCAAATACTCATACTTTGGTATTACTTTTCCATCTAGCATAAATTTCAAACAATGAAATAATTCAAATTAACAAGTTTGTTGATTTTTTTGGTTACTTTAAAGTTGTTCGATAAAATGATAAAACTGCGTTCCATTACTTCGTTTAAAATAAACATTTAAATTAAATGAATTTAAATGTTTGAAATTAATGTGGGATACACCGGTATTTTCAGTAATAGTTTTAACGACCACTGTAATTTCATTCATTAAAATTCGTCCAATTTAAAAGACTGGTTAATAAAAGGAACTGGGGAGTATAAACAACGGTTTATTAAGCTAAAATACTCAATTCTTGGTTGCAAATTGCAACTTGCAATTGGTCGATATTTAAATAAACCAATCCGCATAAGTTAATTTCATTGATTGAAATTCACGCTGTTAATTTCAAACATTAAAATTAGTGGTTAATTTTCTTTACCAATCAGTTTAATTCAAACATTGAAATACAGCGAATTTCATACATTGAAATTACTTTTGCATCTAGCATGAGTTTCCAAGTTTGTTGAATTTTTTGGTTACTTTAAAGTTGTTCAATTAAATAATAAAACGGCGTTCCATAGTTAAATGTGTTAAAATCTTTAAATGCTTATTTCTCAGCTCAACAGAAAATGAGTTACTATAGTCTTTGTTGCATAGGTCAATGTGATAATTGGGACAATTTGACAGGTGACAGAAGACGGATGACACAATCATTACTATTATAATTATCAATTGTACATTTCAAAAAAAAAACACATATATAGCATATGCAATAGCTTATGTCGTGCGTGCACTCATCTTCCAAACTGCTTTTTTATATTTTACAAACCTTAATACGGTAATTTTTCTGGAACAAGCACCCGTTCGCCAAGCGTGCTAGAATAGCTAAACGCCCGTTTCGCGACACCTCAAACTTGGTCGCTTTACCGAGAACAAACTATGCATAAATTTATTAATTGTTTAAATAAAAGTTGTTGCATATTCAGTAAAAACCAACTTTCCTACTTAAATATTGCACTAAGTTAAAAAGAAACAGAGAAAAGTAGCAAAACTGCTTTTCAGCCCCCTGCTTTAGACGCTTTTATTTTAAATTTTGTTTTTTCAAAAAAGTTAAAAGAGTAATAGTTATTGTATGTTATTTTATTCTCTACAACTTTGCTCTGGCAAAGGAAGCAACCACCCAATTTCTTACAATTTTGCACTATTATGTTTTTTTATTGAAATACTAGAATGACTGGTCTAACAAGGAATAACAAGCAAATTACACTGCAGGGAGGTAAAAATATCACAGCTAAATGCTTGGACACATAAACTTTTTTGGTCAAAAGATATACACTTCGCGTCAAATTTAACGCACCACTAAAAATTTGCCACAATTTGAAAGTTGATTTTCTCGCGAACCGTCAAACCGAATTTGGTAGTTTTTGTTTTAAATTGTAGGTTTATTCTTTTGTTATTACGCCTTTATTAAAATATTTTTTCAAATTTACGTTTTGAGTATATACAGGATGCAAGAGTAATAATAAGTTTTTCCATGTAAATTTGAAACGCCCTGTGGGTTGTGCCAGTTATAACAGCATATGTCTCTTACAATCAAACTATAGCCCCATCTTCTTTTAACATTTTGTTTTTTAATTCACCGCGTTATCTTTATTTAAAAAAAAATATACAGTTAAATATTAAATAACTCCAGTTTAATAAAAAAGAGTAAAAATAACGATTGTAACAATAACAATGAAAATATGAACAAAATCAATAAGACCAACATTAAAGAATATCAATATCGCGTATTTTCGCCTCTACTTCTAATTACGGCTTCACATCGACGGCTCATACTCGAACCCAGATGTCTAATCTCGCCTTGATCAATGGCATTCCATATTTCTCGTAGCATATTTGCTACGTCATCAAGGGAGGCAGGCAAGGGATAATGATTTCTTAGTCGTCTACCCATATTATCCCAAAAATGCTCAATGAGGTTGAGATCCGGACTATTTGCAGTGCTCTTGCACTATATGGGCGGTGTGAGGTCTTGCGTTATCCTGCATCAGTAAAAAATAATTACCGATGTACGGGGCGAAAGGGACAACATGTTCAGATAAAATGTCCTCGGTATATCGTACACTATTCATGATACCTCCATGAACAATAACGAGTTCTGTGGGAGCTGTCAAGGAAATTCCTCCCCAAACCATTACAGAACCTCCATTAAATACCGAGGTTTCACTAATGTTACACAGAAAATATCTCATTTGGACGTCGGAGAACCCTTACTCGCCGATCAGAGCTGAATAAACAAAACCTGGACTCGTCTGTAAAAAGTACACGCTGCCAATTATCAACATTCCAGAAAACATATTGTCTGGCAATTTGCAGTCTTGCTCTACGATGATAGGTAATAGGCAATAGGTAATTACCCCCATTACCCCCCCTCCTTATCGACGCCCTTGCGTCAGGGACATGCGCAAAACCAAAATTACATGACGTCCATTTTACAGTTCAAATGCTTGGAAGGAACAAGCCTATAGTGACTGTTAATAACATTCAAAAATACAAAACTACCTTAAAACACACAAACCAGCACATAATATTGGGAAATGTTCAGAAGTATTTTTTCGCAACTATTGTAAACTACAAACTACTTCAAAACACACAAACGACTATGTATAATTTGTAATGTTTGAAAAGTTTTTCCGCAAGGTATTTGTTTCCAACGTGACATGCGCACGAAAATGGTTTGAAAATTGTAAGAAACATGTTTGTGATTTGATGACAAAAAACTGTAAATAAGTGCATTTTAACAAATTACAGTGTTGCCAAGCTTACCTCTTCTCCTAATTCAGCTAATTGCAATAAAGCTCTTTCTTTAAAAAGTACATTTAATCTGGATACAGGTGGTTGATTAATCCAAGCAGGAATTCTGATTTCATTCTCAGAAACATTCATAGGTGGTATATTTATAGGATTTTCTTCTTCTTCCCCATCAGGGGCCTCTCTTTCACCAATTCTAGAAGTAGATCTTGCAAAGATTGTCTCTTCCAGGTTAATATGAGTACCAGACTGGGTAACTTTATTTTCTTCCCCATCTAGTACTCTTGTTATGCTTAGGTTGGCACCACTTGTACTGGGTAGATCCCTGGTTATGTATGTATCATCATTTTCTGATATGCTCACATTATTGCAAAAGCTTGGACTATCATATTGAGGGATGTAGGGTTTAATATCTAACACAGGAGTATCATTTATCATATCCACACCGCTAAAATACACAACATTTTCGAAAATCCTATCAATTTTAACCAAAGATAAACCTATTGGACAGGGTCTATGTGGAGATCTGGTGGCAAAAACACCTGTACGGACACCATTTAACCTAGGTGGCGCCACTTTCGCCTTGACGTGATTTGAGTCGTTTTTATGAAAGTGGAATAAAATCCACATATGTGAAAACTCTTGAAGACCCTCCAATGCATGATTTGGATTTGTAAAAACTTCACTATTTAATGTTAATTTAGCCACCATCTCAGAACAAATACCTGGTTGTCTAGGTGTACCCCTTTTCTCTGGAAACTGTGTCGTTATTTTCCCAATGTAGTTACATTTAAAGTCATTTTGATTATAAGTAATATTAGTATTACTATTAGTATTGTTTTGTTTAGACCTACATTCCATACATTGCCAGGTTTTGAGTTTATCGTAAATAGAATCGCACTCTTTTTTATGAACGTGATTCAATGAAGTTATTTGCTGCCTAAAATAAGCAAAATCGTAAATTTTTAGGTCATAACCACCCAATTAAATATTAAATATTTTACCGTAAATTATTAATTTCCCTTCGCGCAATTTCCAATTGTTTTTGCAAATAAGACGCGTCGTTCGTTTGTTCCGCCCAATTTCCTGACATTTTTATTTTTCAATAATAAAATAACCAAATTAACTACAATCCATTATTATGACGTTTAAAAGCTAGGTTAGGTTGGAAATCGTCATGGGCTACCAACCAAAGAAGTTCTTTACTACCAACCCAATTTATGTTAAGGCAACTTGAATTTTTGTTTAACAAATGAGGCTGTCAAATTGACAGTGTCAATTCAAAAATTTTAATAATTTTTACCAAATTGGTATAACAATATAAATTGTAACTGTATTCCATAAACGAAGAACATATTGTATTATAGTAACTTTTTAACATTTTTAATATAATAAAACATGCTCTATAGAGGATCCTAATATATATATATATACAGGGTGTTTCATAATATATGCGCAGGACTTCAGGATGTGATAGCCATGCTATGCTCACTCCCCCCTTCCTTTTCAGACCTTAAAATTAGTTGCGGATAGGATCGATTATAGCGCTGAAGCAGCAGAATTTAAATAACACTTAGGTGGCATCTGTTGTGCCGAGTCCAAATAAACAATCCGTTTAAATAAACCCTGGCGGTTCGTAGAATAAAACGCAATCTACGTTTGTATTTCACACTTTATTCACAAGTGCAACGAAAACGTTGTAAAATTAAATAACATCAATCCAATACATGTTTTTTCTCTCAAAAATACTTCCCTAACAACCGTTATTCTTTTTAAACAAAAACTACTCATTTTTACTGTCTAGACATTTCTACTACAAAAAACTAACTTTCCTTTTTTAATCAAAACAAATACCAAAAAATCAAAATGTTACAGCGGTTCCCCACATACTCCCACCTTGAGATATGTTTTGAGAAACAAAAATGTCACAAAAAAAAAACGCTGTACAGTTTCTTTACAAATACCTTCGCGGCATTTTCAAAACTCGACCTCTTCGCGTCACTACAACTTTCGGTTCGGGTACTCTGCTTTTCACTTCTCGCGCACTAACCCGCAAATCACTTGCTTCTCTGTTCTCCTTCGCAGAAACTTCATTTTCCTCCGCAGACTCAACCTGAGTCGGAATCGAAAACTGACAATCCTCAACCATACATTCCAACGGAAAAATTCTCTGCACAGGTCGTAAGAGCTGACCTCGCGCAGTTTTGACTCTGACTAAACGAACGTTCCCATCTTTTCCAGGTAGCAGTTCTATAACTTTCCCCAGTGGCCAGTCCATCCTCTTCTCTTGATCATTGCCCACTAGGACAACTTCTCCTATGGCAATTGGTCGATTGAGGCGTCGATTTTGTATAATTCTCAACTGCCCCAAATATTCACTGCGAAACCTGAGCCTTAGTTTTTTACGCAGTCCTTGCAAATATACAACTTTCTTGCAAAGTGACTGTTGATCCACAGCATCACAATCTGGAACTTCCCCGCTTACTTGTTCACGAAGAAACATCATTGGGGTTAAGGGAACAAGTTCTTCTGGATCCGATGAAACATACGTGATTGGTCTTGAATTGATTACCTCCTCACAATCACACAATACAGTATTCAGGTTTTCATAATTTAATGAAGCCCTTCCCAACACTTTTCTTAAAATCTGCTTCATTATTCCAATAAGTCTTTCCCAAAATCCTCCCCACCATGACGCTGTTGGCGGATTGAAGCGCCATTGTATTCTTTCCGTAGCACAGCCTGCTGCCACTTTTTCCCACTCCAACCGAGAAAACGTATTGTAGGTACCAACAAAATTTGTCCCATTATCACTGTAGATAATCCGTGGACGACCTCGTCTCGCGATAAATCGTCGAAGTGCTTTCATAAAATTGACCATAGACAATGCAGAACATAACTCGAGATGCACCGCTCGATACACGGCACACGTGAATAAACAGATCCAAATCTTTTCTCCAGATTTAAGAAACAGAGGACCTGCGAAGTCCACTCCAGTAACTTCAAACACAGCCGCATCCCTGACTCGACTCTCTGGAAGTGGAGGCGGTTCTGTTCTGAACGATTTTCTATTGTGACGAGCACACACAACGCATCGTGAAATTACTGCTTTGATTTCTCTTCGACCACCCAAGATCCAGTAATTTTCCCGCAATAAACAAATCAGCCCTTGGGTGCCCACATGGCCTTTCACATGCTCGCTGAATATTAAGTTTCTTACTACTGCATGCTTAGCTGGTAAGATAATAGGAAAACGAAACTGTTCACTGTCATCTCGTCTACTCACTCGAGATTTCAATCGTATAACTCCAACTTCGTCCTTAAAGCAATTTAAAAACTCTATGCTTTTGATTCCTTCTCCCGAAAACGATTCTCTCTGAATAATCTTGAAGACAAACGTTCTGGCTTCCTCAAACTCCTGGAATATAATATCTCCATACCTTTTATCATTTTTATTTTTGAGATTAAATTTAAATCGATTTATCCAAGCTATCATCCGAATTGTTTTTGTAATTTTGGAAAAATAAGTAAGGTGCCATTCTTTTTCGTCATCTGTAGCTTTAGCATTTATCAAAGATATCACCCCTTTCTTCTTCTCTCGGTTTACTTCAAACTCATTAAAAACCGGTGTCTCTCTTAATGACCAACTCTCCTGTTTTTTATAGAGCCAATTAGGACCCTCCCACCATTTTGAATCCAATAACTGTCTAGGAGAACATCCTCGTGAAGGCATATCAGCCGGATTCTTTACTCCAGGTACATAACTCCACGAGTCTCGGTCGCTCAAGGAACGTATTTCTTTCACACGATTATACACAAATGTCGCCCATTCCTCTTCTTTGTGAATCCAAGCCAGAACTGTTGAAGAGTCACTCCAGAAAAAACTTTTCACATCTAAAGTCAAATTTTCTTTCACAGCGCGATGTAACCTTGCTCCAACCAAAGCCGCTAGCAGCTCCAACCGTGGGATAGTCACCTGCCGAATAGGTGCAATTCTACTCTTTGCAGCCAGAAGCTTTACGTACACTTGACCATCACGAATTCCACGTAAAAAAACTACAGCCGAATAAGCATCTTTACTCGCATCGCAGAATGTGTGAAGTGAACGTTCTTTCGCTTCATCTTCTCCAGCGTAAATCCATCGATCGATACGGATCATATTCACCATAGGTAGTTCGCTTGCCCAGTTTCTAAAATTAATTGCGATCTCTTCCTCCACTGGTTCATCCCAGCCTAATTTCTTTTCCCACGTCTTCTGCAGTAAAAGTTTCGGAAGCAGCGTAGTTGGACAAGTAAAACCAATAGGGTCAAACACTCTTTGCGCCAACGACAGCATAAGTCTCTTTGTGATTGGACCTTTAATCAATTCCTGAATATCACCCAATGATTCAATGTTGACACGTAGTACATCTTCTTCTGTATCCCAACACAAACCCAGTAAGGAAGTAAAATTGGACTTAACCTGTCCCGAGTACTCCCACCCTCTAAGGTCGAATTTTGCCTCCATCATTAACGTTTTAGCCTCCTGTATAAACATATCCAACGCCTTTTCGTCAGGTAAGCTTGTCACGCAATTGTCCACATAAAAACTGGAGAGCAATAATCGTACGTTTTTTTCCAAATAGGGTGCTCTTTTTTCTCTGCAGTTTTCCATAACCCTATGCAAATGTCTTCCGATTGTAGCCCCCAACAAAAATGGACTACTGATCACTCCAAAAACTACTCGTCTGTGTCGATAGATTATTATCTTACCCTGCTCATCCATCCATAAAAATCGTAGAAAATCCCTATCCTTCTCATGGACATTGATTTGCAAAAATGCCTGCTTAATATCTGCAGTTACCCCGATTCTTTCTTTTCGGAATCTCAACAAAATCTCCGGTATGATCTCTATAAGATTTAAACCCTTTTCCAAGCATTGATTCAGGGAAGGTCTACCTTTTTCCCTCGCTGAAGCATCAAATACCGGTCTGATTTTCGTAGTACTCCCCTCCTTGATGACAGGTCTGTGTGGTAGATAATGTCCATCTCGTCCGCTGGTTTCAGGTACTCTCTCAATTATCCCATCTTGAAACCATTGCTCAAACACCAACTCGTACGACTTGAGAAGACCCTCATCACATAACTTCTTATAAGTATTGCACAATCGTTTATGCGCCATGGCATAATTTGTAGGTAAAGGCGGATGTCCTTCTATCCAAGGCAGCCTTACTTCATATCGACCTTCCTCATCAACTCCCAAAGTTTCATTAAAGAAGTCTTTCGCAGCTTGTGCACGATTTTCTTCAGATATCTGCTGCGCTGGATCTTTTATACCCAGAGCATCCAATTCCCACAAATTGGTTATAGAAGCGTCCTTGACAAACAGAGAAATTGCTGTCATGGTAGTACTCCGATCATCTCCTGCTAATGGAACTTTACCCATAAGAGTCCACCCTAGAGTAGTCTCCATAGCCACTAAACCACAACTCGTTTTATGCCGCCTACCTGTGTATAGTTTTCCGGCGATGTCTGATCCTATGAGCAGTTCAATGGGTCCTGATCTTTGTCTGTCCGACAGCAGTATATTCAGATCTCTCAACTCCTCAACCCATGGTCCAGAAAACACCGGTGGCACCTCCATACAAATAACCGGCTGAGATAATGCCTCAAATGTTTCTTTAAAAGTTTCAAATCTGACCTCTATATTATAACAGTGATGCGCCTTCTCCGACGTGAGTCCTCCAAATAAACAGTGAACTAACTTTGTTTCTCGTTTGGAAGAATAGCCCAGCTCCAACGCCGTACTTGTCAGTATATAGGTATGTTGCGATCCTGTATCGATCAGTGCTCTAATTGATTTAAACCCATTGGGCCCATATACTTCCACACGCAATGTTTGTAAAAATACATGTGTTTTCAACCCTGAATTGTTGGTGCAAGTAACTGACGTACGAACAGTCTCATTGTGGTTGCTGGATGTAGCTTTGCCGTTTTCATCAAACTTGTTCTCGTTCTTGTTGGAACACATTATCGCCTCGTGCTGCTTTCCACACATTAAGCACCTCAATTTGACTCGACATCTCCTTGAAACATGCCCAATTTTTAAACAGTTAAAACAAGCATTTTTTTTCATCAGGGTACTTCTACGTTGCTCCAGCGTCATATCTCTTGCCTTAAAACACTTGATACTTTCATGTTTTCCCTCGCAAAAAACACATTTAATTGTTGAC